CCTTCGAATACGCAACTTATTTCATGTCATCTTATTGACTTTATTTTCTATTGTATGGACAGTTTCCAATTGCTTTTACGTGTACAAAAAGTATAACGTTGCTTGTGTTTGCAGGAAGCCAGTAAGCCAGAAAATCGAGCACAGCGTCCCTGGATAATAACTATGGCACACAGACCCATGTATTGTTCCAACGCTGTGGGTGACGGCTGTGAAAATCACGAAAACGCTGTAAGTAATTCAAGTGACATACTGTTATTCGAGCAGCTTCCAGTTATCTTGATTGACTTGCTTGTTCCTGGCTCTAACCTACTCAACTTGCATTTTTCACTCAATCAGAAACATAAATGATAAACTCAAGATTTCGATCACATTTAAGTGATATTGTCAAACTCCAGAAGACTACGGGGATATGGTTCTTTTTTGCGCTGAACTCATAATAGCTGCGCGTGTCTTTAATCTTTTACTCCTAGAAGTAATTGACGTGTAACTTCTTCCCGGCTATAATAGCCATACATTATCCTGAAAACTGGTAGCGAGAAGAATTTGTAAGCTTGATTTAACTCCAAGTTCTCGTAACTAATTTACGAGGAAATGTGCCGTAACTAGAGGGGAGAAGTAAATATGAGATGTTGGGAGTTATACGGTTAATTCAACTTTTGTTACTCTCGATTGATCTGGTCCTGAAGATAAAGCACTACACCAAAAAAAGATAATCTTTCTTAATTCTCTTTTTTCACGCGCAGATTTCTTTATCACAGTAATGTTGTTGCAGGCTGGGTCGAAAAATTCTTGAACAAAAGGCTTGCACTGGCGTCTTTGAGAAGTTCCATTTCGACATACAGCTTTGATTAGTGTCTGAAATCCTTGTTTTGTAGATAAGGACAGGATTATCGTCGGCGAAGCTGTTTCCTTTAGAAGATCTTTTATATAGACATGGTAATTATTTTGCGGAAACTCCGTCACATTAACCGTATTCTGTTAGTATTGTTGTAATCTTCATTCTTTGGTTGACACGCAAATGAAAAATTAATGGTCCATCAACCTTATAGCAAAGGAACTCGCGTAGACATTGTAAGCAGAATTTCTTCTAGAGTAGACAACCTGAATTTTCTGCCCTGTATATAATTATGTGTAATTATTTAAAGCCGCCAGTATGGTACATGCATGAGCTATTGTAAACTCGACAGAATCGTACACACATTTTCATCGGTTATCACACACGAGATATCGATGGACATATGCATAGATGAGGGCATTATCGGTAACTTTATCTTGCATGTAATTTTTTACTTGTCTTTTTTGTTATCCAAGCTATTGCTATCGTTTTATTATTAATCTATATAATTTTGACATCACTTAGCTATGTTAATAGACAGACTCACGGCAACACGGAATGTTTAGCAAGCTTTTCTCTAATTTTTCTCCTTCCTTTTTGATATAATTGTTAGGGGTGGATGTAGAGTTTTGGGCTCACGAACATTCCTATGAGCGCCTTTATCCAGTGTATAATCATCAGGTAGATCTTAGACCACATGACTGTTTAATCTATGTCAATCAGTAACTTGTAAGTATATACATTTCTTTTAGCAGGTCTTAATACTATTGCTTCACGCACGTATGACGGAACTCACAGTATTAACTCAACAACAGAGCATATCTGATTCAAATTAGTAAAAAAAATCCACGTAAAGAAACGTAACTCTCGGGTCACGCAGTGATGACGAAGAAACGTTACCCAATAGTCGCGCAGTATTGACATAGAAAAGTGCAGAGGGACTGGTTCACGTCCGGAGTTGTCCTTTCGCCTATTGAACCTTTCATTTCCATTCTCATTCCATTCCCGTTCCCATTCCCATTTCAGTACCGTTTTCATTCTCATTCCCATTCCATTCCCATTCAGATGGTTTTCAGACTTTTTCTTCCCATCTTATCCTGGCTTCTTTGTTGATTGTCTCATCTGCAAGCTGTCTCACTCACTGACGAGTTAAGTAATTGACCTTTGGCCCGGACTCCCTGATTAACTTTTTGATTGAATTATTAATTGATTGATTTAGATCCGGAGCGGTTCAAAAGAAAAGCCATACACCAATCCGAGGGCACCTGTACACATCACCACGGGATCAGCGGTAAGAAAAACATTTTAAACACCAAACGTTATTTCCTCAATGACTAAACCCACTTAATAAAATGATTCCCAGTCCTGTATGGAGTTAAATTTACAAAGCAGCGGGTCAAATTGTACAAAGAAGTAGCGGTGGTCAAGATTAATGATAAACGAGTCGTAATAATGATACCCGACCCACCCCTTCCCCCTGATATAAAACGTACTGACCCAAACTAAGCTGGTTCAAGTCAGAAATTGGATGGTCCGCTCTCCTCATAAACCAGCTTTTCTAATAGTTTTAAAACTTAACACTGAAATTGAGTTAACTGTCCATACAGTTTGTCCAACCATCGCAAGTTAGATCAGAGCTGAGATTCTTACGTTCATGACAACGAGGTTGTATTATACACGGTCTCAGTTTGTCAGCGGTTGTGATGGACAGATAACTGCTTGAACTTCTTTATCATGAAAACATTCGTACACAATCTTGAAACACCAGTATATATTTATTTTATACAGGGATGCAAGTATTGCCATGACAAATTCAAGAGAGATTACGGTCCTTGGACGGCGTTCCGCACACTAGATTATGGGTACACTAGGGTACAGGTGTTCAACAGCAGTCACTTGTCACTTGAACAAGTCAGCATTGATAAGGTCAGCGGTAGCTGCTGTATTTCGTTATGGACATCATTATGTGAAGTGTGTGTGCTCGATCACTTCAATTAATAACTTTGATGGAGAGCATTTCGTCTTGAAGTTGCAAAGTACATTTGATGAATCGATCACAATGTCTCATTCGCGATTTAGCTCTTAATGATCAAGGAACGCCACGAGCAGGATTCGGTAAAATCTTCACCGTCGGGAGGTTTGATTTGCGAAATACCCCCAATAAAGAAAAGGCTTACGGCTTTGAACACCCAAATGGACACTATTACAGAGAAACATTCTATTTACATTCTTACTAGCTTGCGCGAAGGCCTTCGTTATCAGCCATTCAGCACAAGCATTCTTTCTCCTGTGAGAAAGTTTGTGGCCTTAAGCAACGCAGGACGGCGTCGCAGCGAGAAGTGTGCGAGGGGTATGGTTCTGATAATAAGGTGCCAGACCCCTCGCAGACCTCTTACCGGCTCGATGTGCTCAAGAAGTTCAGTTTACCCACCGGTGAAGAAACACACGTGATGTAATGTAATTTCAGTCTAATGTATAGTAACAGTTTATTTAATAATGGTGCCATGTGATCACCAATATGTCCTGTTTGTTGGCTCTTTTTTTACTCTTAGATCGTACGATGAGATCTCGGAGCTCAATAGATACTCGGAAATGAATTATAACTAGTATTGGATGTTCTTTTAACTTCGATATATTATGCTACTTAAATATAGCACAGCACAAATTTCTTATTTATATAACTGATAAAAACTAATTATTTTGTTTTGTACAACTAAATCTTTGACCACAGGACTACCAAGTAATAGACAGAATATGGATCATCAAAGATAAACACGGTCCAGAGGCCTGGAAAGGAGGAGAAGATAACACCGAGACCAGTGAGGAAACTGATGAGAAAGTGTCTGAAATTCATGTAACATCCGTGGAGTGACTCGAATTTCGGGAGAACTTCTTCAGACAGTTGAAGTCGCTTTTGCGAAAGTTTTTGCAAGGAATCGGTTACAATGATAGAGGAAGTCTGCTCCGCCAGTTACCACATGAGAAAGTTCGAGTATTTGCATATCGCAAAAATATGAATTTTGTGCTTGCTGATAGTTTGCTAACAACGTCTACGAGGATCAATAGACTTGATTTTTCATTCCTCCATTAGGGAACAAATTGGTCGAGAGAATGCATCGTGATACGATCAAAATCAAAACATTTCTTCTCGGAGGGAAGTTCAGGTCGCTATCTCGTGGCAAAATATGTGTGTCTGGTGATCTTTTAAACATAAAGTTTTTTCAGCACGTTAAGGCCTGTTCTGGTCATCGGTTGAAGATACTGCTTTCAACAACTCAAAAATTATATCTGTAAATTTGTGGCTGGTCCATGCAAAATAGCTTTCAAATCGTAAGGAAGTTATGACCCCTTCTTACTATAAATACTTTGCACGTGATTTTTTGGCGCACAATTTTAAAATACTTTCAAGCTAAGGCGGACCATTGAGATTAACTAACAATCATGTCGCTGCTTCGTCGAGCTTCCCTTAAGCTTTAAAATAAGTTTGAGGGTCGTTAATAGGTACGAGTCAAAAACCGACTCAACACTTCTGATTGATAACAGAAGACATCTCCATAATCACAACCTAGTTCTGCTGCGCCGCGTTGTGTCCTTCTAAAGAATTCTTCTTTACCTTCCTTACTTTCTGAACTAGCTTACCCAAAAGGATTTCAAATGATAAAAAGTAATGGCCTGATTCGTATTCCTTGGCTGAGCTCAGAAGAAACAGCAAGAATAAGAATGTGCGCAGTACAGTTGGTAAGAAATAAAACATAAAGTTTTCATGGAGTTGAGAGCGTGTTTGTAAAATACACGGCCGCAGAAGTTGCTTCCAATATCTATCGCAACCTTTACTTGAAAGTCTATGTCAGGCAGCTGTGCACACAACATAACAGCTTTGAATAACCAGGGAAACCGATGCGAGATGTTAGTATTGCTTCTGATCTAAACTTATCACTTGAATATCGCCACCTTGACTTGAAATAGTATGCAGTACAAGAGTCATTTAAGTTGGCTATAAAATTGCGAAAGTTTGGTGAGCAGTATTGCTTGTTTTCGGCGAAAGTGGTAGAAATCTCCTTCTCTCCGTGGCAATCCTCTACCCCGAGAATTCGACGTAGCGCAACACATTTAGCAAGGAAATTTTGCGCATGCAATTACCAAATGTATTCGACTGCATTACAGGTTACATTAAAAATTGAGGATTTATTGTGTACATTGGACAATTTAACTAAAAAACTAGGAAGCTTTAACAACTGCAACTTCCCACTGAGCAAACGTCCGCCACACCCCGAAAAAAGAAGGGCCCCCCCCAGTTCATTTGTTACCATGTACGCGCCTCCTGTAACTAATAACAGTTCAGACAACCTTGCTTAAATTAAGTAAAATACACCATAGAAAATAACGGAAAAAGTTATTTTCCATTAGTCACACGGCTGGGAGACGTTTTCCTATAACTTCTTGGAAGAAAATCGAATCCCGTCACGTTGTTGAATGAAAAACCAAATCAGTCCATTCGCATGTTCCGCGGATTTTCTCGCACTCTGATCGCGGGCTCCGAGTTCACATGCGTCCATTATTTGTTAGGATTGGTATTGCCTATTGGTTTTTTTCCCATAACTCTCTCGTCCTTCCTCACGCCTCCATGACTCTTCTGTGCGGCATTTTCTTTCTCTCTTTACTAGTGTTTTTCTTTCCTTTCTTCTTGAGATATTGCTGCAGCTTTCCTGATGATTTCAGTTTTTTGAATTTCTCCGCCAGCTCCAACTTCTTTTTATCAGCTATTTAGTAAATAAAGAAATGAAAGGTATAGCACTGGCATTGTAGAGGACAACACACTGCGAACAATGCCAATAACACATTAAAAAGCCTTCGCAATTTCAAAAATTTGAAAGCGTACATGATTGGATCAAAACTCACATTTCTTTAGGTAATATGGTGTTTTTCCTTGCTTCACTAATTCCAGTTCTGCCGTCTTTCTCTTTCTTTCTACTTCTCTCTTTTGAGCTGCAGCTTTCTTCGTTGCTTCTTGTTGATCCTGGCAAAAAGACAAGACTTCAGATGAAATTATCTGTACTTAAATGAATGGAATTATTCAAATTATAATGGAACGACTTGCTTTGAAAAAAGGAATACGTAATCTTATCTTTTTTTAGAATCTTGGAACTCATTAGATTTGTTTGGTTGATCTACATATAGGATCACTATCACATCTGTCTATGAAAAGATAAGGCTCTCTTCATGTTCATGACCTCATTAAACGTCTTCTTAAACCTTAAACTATCAATATATGATTGTTAATTAGCCATTTTACAGTTGTGTACTTAGTTATCAAGCCTCTGATTTGGAGTGAGGCTGAAGGTGACCTTGTTGTGATAGAGACCAGTATCTAGTTATCATGATAACAAAGTAATTTGCATTTGAAAAGCAAGCAAGGTTTGTATCATAACAAGGTCAATCTTGGCCTCACTCTTGTTCAAAAGCTTGGCAACCAAGCATGCACTGTACAATGGACTATTCTCCCCTCTTGCTGCTACACATTTCCTTGTAAATTATTTACAAAAATTTGGTGTCAAAGCAAAGTAACAACTTCCTCTTCATAGCTTGGCTGTTCCTGTTATCTGTTTACTGAAAAATGTATGGATATTACAGGGAGAAGTTACATGTTCATGACTTCTGTAAGTTGAAGGGTAAGGAAGTTCTCATTGCCATCACCTTTTGTGCAATGTCTTTATTTTCTGTACAAAGAGATCCAAGGGGAAGAGGGGAGGCTGGTAAATTGTACTACAAAATATTTACCATTCTCTTCAGTAATGACTCCAGCTGATGTTTTCTCTCTGGATGCTTGGTTTTCTGCATTTCTTTCTGTAATTGCTGCAAGAAAATCAAGAGAAATTATCACCTTCAAACAGCAAGTGTGCCTACCAGTAGATCTGCCTTGTTATGCATATGAGGACTTTGTAAGAATAGTTGTTGAGTACTTACGAAGACAATGAAACTTCTGTTTGCAGTGGTGGTGGCAATGACAATGATAATAATAACTATAACAATGATGATTAAATTACAGTAAAAAAAATATTTGATCTACTGAAATCAGATATCAATTGCTCACCTTCTTCTCATTTGCCTTTACATCATCTAAGAAGGAGTATGCTTTATCAAACATTTCTTGGTTGAAACTGCCTGACAATTCATCAAACCTGGGATCTCTTGCCATCTAAATCAATGAAATTAGACTGCTTTTCATCACAAAAATTTACAACCAGCACATTGTGGGGGAGGCAGTAGTCCTGCAGTTAGCATGCTGCACCCTAGATCAAAGTGTCTTGGTTCAGGCCAGTAGCTAACTGCTTTCATGGAAGAAATACTCTTACAGTGCTGCTCTTCAGGGAGTATAATTATTAGGTAATGGCAAACAATCAGCGGGACGCAACAAAATTTTGGGGGTAAGCAACAATGATTCCAAACATTGTAGTAAACTCATGCAGAAAAAAAAACTGGATAAGCTTTTATATCTAGCAAGTAACTCTCATTTAAGAAATACTCCCCAGTGCTGCTCTTCAGAGAGTATAATTATTAGGTAATGGAAAACAATCAGCGAGATGCAACAAAATTTTTGGGGTAAGCAACAATGACTCCACACTTTGTAGTTAACTCATGCAAAAAAAAAAAACCGGATAAGCTTTTATATCTAGCAAGTAACTCCCATTTCCAGACTTTTCACACCCTTTCAGGGTCTTTAATGTACAATAAACTTAATCTGATATGTACTACTAAACAAGTTTTTTTTTTTCACTGGGTCATTAAAGAGTCTGCATAAAAAGGATGTTTTGTTAATTTCTAGACAATACCCTTTAGGAAAAAAGTTGTATTGTTGTAATTTTGTTACATTATAATAATAATTTTAGTGGGAAAGGCTAACATGCATAAGAGCAAAAAAACTCACTTGTTTTTTAACTGGAATAACTTGTCTTAGTCTAGGAACTGGTTTCTTTGATGACAATTCTCTTGGCCTGTAAAAATCATAGCATTTAATTATCAAAACAGTCTGTTCTCTGTCTTATGAGCAAATTATTTAATGGAGGGGGAAGGGGGATAAAATATTCTAACTCTTAACTTTTCAAGGTTTTCACATGTACTTTTATCATTTTTTTTTTCCAAAAACCTTTCTCGAAACAACTCCACATGTATTCTGGTACAATGTATATGTAGATGGTTTGTCAGGCTGGCATGTTTCTTTTAGTCTGATGGGTCTCACAGTCAACATTTTCCTCTCTCACCTGTTTTTGTTTTCCCTTTTAAGTGACTTTGTTGCATTTGTTCCTTTCTTGTCAAAGAGACCATGAATTGCTTCATTGTATCTTGAAATGAAATAGTCCCAATAAGCCTTAATATTCATTTGAAATGAGTTGGCCTTAAGGTTCAAATGCTGAAGTTCAAACAACATCAAACATAAATGTTTCCTGCTCTAACTTGAGCTCAGGCCAGGCCAATTCACTTTAATTTGACAAATAGATAATTTTTCACAGTTTAGATAGATGCACATTGTAGCCAGAGCTTATGGTTTTTTTGTTTTTTTTTTTGGGCACTTCATATATGTTTATATGAATATTGCTTTAACTACATCAGGACCATGTTGTTTGGATGCTGATCAGCGTTCACCCAGGGTTAAATTTTTATTTTCTTTTATTCTTTGAAGGGCATCCAGTCATCAAATTGTAGACAAAAATAATTGCAATGAATTTTCTTTTAAAGCTTTCAGATCTTAAATCAGATTTCAGACTAACCCTGGGTTATCTTAGCCCAGCTTTGAACAACCTGGCCCAGAATGGAAACCCTGTTGAATTGCTTACCGTCCAGCATCTCATCAGGCTTCCCTAACAGTTTGCCAGAAGCCACTCATACTCCAGGGTGGAGAGAGGAGACACAAGAGTAGGTATCTTACCAAGGAACACAATATAATTACCCTGGCAAGTTCTCAAAGCTGCACTTTGGGCACCCAGTATCAACCATAATAAATAAATCTCCAATTTGGTTCCACAGGATTTTCCCCCAACATTATTAATATCATTGCACTGCACACTAATAAATGTAAGTATCATTAATAAAAGTTTTACAGAAACCCAAGTTTTTGTTAGTTACCTATTTACTGTAAGTTAATGGCTATTGTGGTGAGTGTAATAATTATTATAATTTCAAGTTACCAAAGTATTGCAAATATTTTTGTATATTTGTTATATTGTCATCAAAAAAGGGTTCTCAGTTATAAGGTTCAGGCTGATGTCACTGTACCAATACTCTATCTTTTTCGATTGAATATTTTGCTATGTATGAAATCAATACTTTATTGACCCCTCGTATGTCAGCGACGCCATACCTCTTGGAGCCAACTCTGTGCTTAAGCTCTTCAAGTTCACAAAAAGGAATCTCAGATAGTTCTACAAAAGATCAATGGAAAAAAAATCGACATTTTTCCTTTCCTACAGTTGCATTTAAACGACTAACCAACGTTTCACGTGTATTAAAGCTATAAGGCGCTAGCCGTGACTCTTAAAAACTAACTACAAACAAGATAATTCACTTTACGTAAACTTCTGATTGTCAGCAGTCCATTAATCCCTTGAAAGACACTCACCTTCTTTAAGCCGACTCTGAGATAAAAAAAAATTTTAAAGACACAGATTAAAAGAAATAAGCTTAGTTAACGAAGGTTATGAAATGGAAATTTTTCAAGAGGGACAACAAGTCTTACAATTTGGCCTTCTTCCTCCCCATCAGAGTTATCTGGGCTTGTATCATCATCCGGAGATTTTGAAATACTATCATTTGGATCATAAACATCCATGCTTCTTTAGAATTTCCCTTTTATCGAAAAGAAAAACAAGCGTAAATCGCTATGAAACACATCTACCTTCGGTTCGCCATCTTGGACGAGCACAACCAAGGCAGACTGGATCGAGAGAGTTTCCAAACTAGCATATTTCCGGGCTCTCTCGATCGTGTCAGGGAAGTGCAGAACGCCTGGCAAAATCTTGTTATTGCTATGCATTTTCATCAATGGATCCGTTCAAAAAGGAATTCAAACGATACAAACAACGTCAGCCTCCACCAGACCTATCAGAAGTGATCGATTTTACTCAACCTGTGGGAGAACCCTTTAAGAAATGGGTAACCTGATATTTTCGTATCGAAAAATTTTGCTAACGTAACTGTGAGTTCTGTGTCATCCAAATTGATTGGGTATCCTTGTTTGTATACATTGCGTTTGTTACCACTAAAACCCTAAGAGTGACTAGCATCTATTTTCTCACTACAATATCACTCCTGAATCACACATTAAGGTCATGAGAATAAATGAAATGGTCACAAGGGAAGGAACCTTTTGATTGGCAAACAAATTCTCCTCGTCAGCACCTTAGCAAATGTAAATAGGACAATGTGGAGAATATGCATACTGATGTAAGGGTGTAAAGGGTTAAATAACTTTCAAATTAGCCTATTGAAATGACTTAATTATATTTTTTAACAGGTTACCACAACCGAAACACATATTTCAGATGTAGCACGAACATCTGACTTTGGATTGCGTCCAAGTAACGAGTGGCGTGTTTATGGAATTCATGACCATCCAGGTAAGCTGAATGATTCTCAGTCTCATCTCTTCTGAATGGTTAATGCAAATGACTGGTGAACATTTTGAATAGTGCTGGTGGTTTAATTCTAGATATACAGTTAGATTGTCAACTGAAAAAAAATCAATAGAAAGAAAAACTCATTTAAAACTGATTAAGTCAGTAATCCATGTCAAATTTGCCGTCATTAAGCCTTCACTCCCTAACACGATCAGTATGCATGTTCTCCTTACTGTACTCTTTACATTTCCTAAGGAGCCCACTACAAGAATTTGCACAACAATCATGAGTTTCTTCAATTTGTTATAATTTCCTTAATTCTGGTGTCCTTAATACTTTATTCAGAGTGACATTGTAAAGGAAAATTTGATGTTAGTCACTCTAGGGGTCAATGGGTTAACCAGATTCTCGAACAGTTTTTGCTAATCCTTGCCCATACATTTTGTGTTTGTATGCCATATAGAAAGTTATAGTTTTGGGTTTTTTTTTCAATTTAAAGGCAATCTTAAGGATGCCAGAAATTACTTAAGCGTCACAATATCACAATTTTTTTCAATTCTATTTTGCCTGCAGGTTTTATTTTTATTGTAAATCCATTCTTGCCTGGGACACAGTGGCAGTGGATTGAAAAATGTATCAAAGACTATCCTTGTAAGCCAAATTTGTGTAATCTAGATGCTCACATGGAAAGAACATGTGCAAACACAATCTGGGATGAGAGCAGATCTTCTGAAAGGTAAAATGAGGCCTTGCCATTATATTCATTTTTGCCACAAGAAGTAGAGTGCACATCATGTACCAAATATCAAGAAATACTTTTTTCTTTCATTTTATCTAGTTTCAATTAAGTGAAACAAATCCTATATCAAAAGGTACAGGTAATTATTCATAATTTTTGTGTTGCTTATTTGCAGTTGTATGAAGAAGAGTTTACTGTACAAACTCCGCTGGGTTACTCTAGGATATCATTATAACTGGGATGATAAGGTATATGAATTAAGTAGGATGACATAGAAAGTGTTCCCATCTGAAGTGACAAAGAAAGATTCCTTCAGTTTTTGTGGAGAATTTTAACATAGCTCAACTATTAATGAAAGTTAATTTAAACTGAGACATGGAATTCAACAATTTTGGAAGATGTTGCTGCTTGCAAAACTTATTGGAGAATGACAAGGAGGATTCATTAAGTAATATTTTTACTTCCACTCAGTGACACTTAAGTTTTATTGCAGACTTATAACAAAAAAAGACATACACCATTTCCACCTGATCTGGGACAGCTTATGGAATTCATTGCCACAACTTTACAATTTCCCAGGTAAATTTCTCTGTTTTCCTAGGCACAGTTTTGTGTGTAAAAAAAATTACTAATTCACATTATCAACTGATTGTGCCAGAAATTGTCACAATGCCTTGATTCCCAAAATTTAAGGAAAGAAGTCAAGGTTTCTTTAATGCTTCTTAAGTTTCATTGAAGTTGACCTGATTTTAAATAAAAGGATGCTTTTTTTCCTAATGGTTTTCTCTCTTTTCCAATCATTTGTGTCTACAAAACATCAGTAGCTATACAGCCTGCATTTTGGAATATTTCAGCAAGTTTTTCAAATTTCTTCAAGAACCACAAGTGTGACTTACAAATGCCTATTCTTAGTCAGTAAAAAAGCCTACATAAATAGGCGTGTGAATATTAAAGCAGTAATAGAATTCAAGGGAAAGATTAGGTGTTATGGAACCTTTTTTTGTTATAAGCTTCAAGCCTGAGGCTGGAATAATCAACTACTATCATCTGGATTCAACACTGTCTGGACATACAGATCATTCTGAGTTTGACCTCACAGCTCCTCTGTTCTCTTTGAGGTACGTTATGTAGAAGGGTAAGCTTAGATAGGGCATAGTTGGGTTTGTAGCAATTCACAAAAAAATCCAACAGACTTTCACTCACCATCTCTATTACTTTTTTCACTGACCAAGACCATGGCTTAGACTAAGTATCCTTTATGAAACACTTTGAACCCGGAGTTATAGAACTTTTGACAAAAATAGGGGAATCAGAACTCTTGCTAAAATGGTTTGTAAGAAAAAAGTGATCAGCTTTTGATAGCCTGTCTGTTTTTTAAGGAATTAAAATGGTGTGTTTAAAATATAATTATGCGGTTGTACCATGAGGAATAGTAAACATGAATTGAAGAAAAATTAATCAAATCATGGCTGCGTTGTCAAGAATAAAAAAAAAATCAACTGTTATCATTATTGTAATCATTATTATTACTATTATTATAAGTAATAGAAGTAGTAGTGGTAGTATTTAAATTTCTCTTTCTGCAGCTTTGGACAAACAGCAATCTTTCTTCTTGGCGGGAAAACGAGGGAGCAGGTGCCACTCGCGATGTACTTGCGCAGCGGAGATATTATGGTTATGGCGAGAAACTCACGACTGGCTTACCACGCTGTACCGCGGATTCTTTCACCACCAACACACGCAGGCGCACAAAGCTTGCCACTGTGCTTAATGAAAGATAAAGATAAACCAAGCGAGAATTGCAGCGAGAAGGATGATGTTATTCTTGAACACTACCTTACTGATTCGAGGATAAATGTCAACGTAAGACAGGTTTTAGCACCAGGAAAGGAATTTCCAGATGAGGGTCTCGAGGAAGAGTGACGATTGTGGATGATTTGCCCCATTCAAAGAGCAGGTTTTGAAATGAAACCATTCTACTAGGAAGAGGGCAGTATCAAGTACTCCACCTCTTGACGTGATTCGAGCCATCGTCGTCAACTTACAGCGCCAAATACGTCGTCTTTTTCGATGCGCGAGACCTGCTTAGTGTGAATGAGAGAGTTAAGAATTAACCTCGAGAAATTACATACATATACATATGTTGCTTCCCTTCACGTCTTTCGCGTGATGTGTGACGTCACAAACGCCTATGGGTCACGTACTGAATGCGCATGAAGCAATCAGCTTGTCACGCATTGTCAGTGGCGACTAAATTTTTTGGGTAATTGGAAAATCGGAAAGAGGTGAAGAAAAAGCCATCGACTTGCCACAGTGGCCTGCCTCAGCCAGGTAAGGTGTGAATCTGCTGGGAAGTAGTCCTTTGGTCAATTTACACTCAGCTGAAAATATGGGAACTGCTCTGCTCTAATTGGAATTATATTTGTAAACAATATGTGTCAATTTAACGTAATATTAAATGGGACATTCTTAATGAAGATTGTGGAGGTATATTTTCCACCAGCGTTTAAGCTATGGAAAGAAGGCTGCTCATCTTATTTTTGAGTGCTTTAATTTTGTTCGATGTGACGGCTACTTTTCCTCTTTTCCGTGGCCTTCGTGAGGAATATGAGCCGCAACCTGAAGCTGAACTTAAAAAATCTAGTGGTGTTATTATGGCTGAAACTCGTTTGAAGACAAAGACAGATTTCTCAAGAAATGCGCTTGATCTTAACAGCGAGATTCACAGGCATCGCGAGCATGGGCGTGGGTCGTCATTACATGCGCGTTTAGCTTCAAGGGATGAGAGTAAAGCTCAAAGAAAGAAGAGATCAAAATTCCTAGCGCTTTCAATCTTCGGTGGATGTGTGGCTTTCATGTCGCTGTCGTTTGCCATAATGTGCTGTGTGCAACGCGTTAAGGCTTCGGCGAAGCGAGTGAAGGAAGCGACGCACGTGGACGTGCGCCCGCGGCAAGAGGCTGACCTCCCAGGGCAGGTCAGTAAGATTGATGATGATGCAGTACATATCGACGTGGGGCAGTATTAGTGTTGTTCGATTGGACAAATCGAGTCTTTATATGCAAGTCATAGCTAACCAAAGAAAAGAACCGTTTACCTGTCTTCGAATATTTTATTCTTGTCTCTCAGAGTACAATAGCTATATTTTGAACCGTATAAACAGTATTCTGAGGAACCTAGACTGTCTTTGTGCTGGGCTAAAATATTTCAAGGCAGCCGATCGTACAGAAGATCTAGCTCGCGAAGCAGTGTATTTTAAAATTACAACCGCAACTTGTTATTCTCGTAAGTTATCACAACGAGGAAATAATAAATATCTATTTCTCAAGATAAATGGCTATAGATAGCTATATACAGCTCTAACTATAATCCATCGAGTATTTCAAACAGCGTGCGATCGGTTTTTGAGTGTCATGTGACCAAATATGTCCTTGGTAAAACGAGAACTTTTGGTGTTTTTTCCAACGTGATATTCACCAATTTTGAAACTTTGTACTCAACGGGATGAAGGACTTCCTTTATATACCAAAAGAACACTGTAAAGTCGCTAGCATATGTTCTCATTAAATAGAGGCTGTCGTTTGTTTATGTGGCATAAATTATACCTTTCCCTCAGATTTTTTCCATTACATGAACTGTTGTGAAGTGGAGAGGTTTTGAAGAAGTCTGTCAAAGGTGAATTTCTTTCATGCAACATAAAAAGTATCCAATTGATTTCTGTCCCAGACAATGGGTTCCTCCTCCAGTGTGGTCGCTCAGAGCTATGAACTGAGAGTTATTTCAGTAACGTTTTGAGTTGAATACTTCTTAAAACACCATTCATATATGTATTCCAAATCACTGGAAATGTCCCAAAGCGTATATCGATTTAGTCTATTACCTCCTGTTGAAATATCAGGCTGAAACATTTCCCTCGCCTTTGTCATTAAAAAAAAAGTGATACGAAAATAACTGTCAGGTTGAAATTGACATTAGCTAGGTTGATATTCTGTAAATTCCTATTTGCGTATTTTATAGGAAAATTCATTACCAGACGTGGGAATCCCGCGTTAAATTGCACGCGAAAACCGATATCGCGCGAATCGCGAAGCGATGAGTAAATATCATCTATATATCTTGTATTTATTTATCTCTGGGTTGGGGTGGTGGGAATGGCGGGAGGATTTTGGTTGTGTCATGATAGAATTTACCTGATTCCTCTACAAGGCTCTTTAAAAAATTCAAACGATCCACCTTATTGGTGGTCAATTCTCTATAGTCCTCCCTTTATACTCTGTTGGTAACAAATGACACTTCCCCCTCTTCCTCATGAAAACCATGTGATCCCCAAAAAATCCTCCAGCCCCAAACCCTCCCTTCCCCTTCCCCCTTCCCCAACCCGGGCGGTAGATAATGACTAGTCCATAAGAATGAGTTTTGGGGGAAGTCTGACGGGTCTTCAACATGTGACATCGTGTCTTGCGGTCCTTTGGATACAGAATAATTTCTTTGAATGTTCATGCAAAACGATGTTATAACGATGTCAGCTATCGGTAGATAATTTTCTAACTGAATTAAGTGTGATTTGGAAGAAGCTGTTCCTCCTGCGTTCGAGGAGCTGTCGTCTTTCTTTGTTGTGAGCTCTCCTCAGTTCGTTAGCAATTTCACAGAACCTTTGATAAAATGTATTCACCTCCTGTTTCAATTGTTGTCGCAGAGACGCGAAATGTTTGTCAGGTTCTGAGTTAAATGATAAAATAAATAGATGAATGAATAAATGAATTAGTAATAAATGACTGGTAAAATAACAAACGGATAAACATGTATATAACTTAGAGTTGCGTGCTGGTGTACCTTTCCAACAAACGTTGCCGATTGCAATGCTTCTGCATAGTTTTGGTTTAATTCATTAATTGTAAGTTAGCACAATATATGTCTATGTCTGTTCCTTTCCGAGTTGACGTCTTTCGAACTTACTTATCATGGTTGAGTGCTGTTTCACTTTCCTGCAGTATATCTGACCCACCAACCCGCAAAGGAGTGCAAAGCCCAAGACAATCGTTAGAGCGAGATAGCTGAAAGAGAACTGGGAACTATCCGGGTCAAACAATCCGCCACTTATTTCCTCCGCGATTGATTCTTCGTGAGGCTGACACAAAAGAGAACCGAAAATAACATTCAAATTGGATTCAATGAATAATTGGAAATGTTTTAAATTAAAGGAATGCTCCCATGCGGAAATAAATGGGAAAATGAATAAAATAAATTATATTTTTCAGTGCCTTATATTCAGAGATGGACAGTTGGGTATCGATTTGTAGCCAGAGATAGATACAGAGGGGTGGACTGGGCAGACAGAAAGACAGACTGATAGGCAGACAACTTGACAGACTGACAGACAGACCGATAGACCGACAGACAACTTGACAGACTGAGACAGAAAAACAGATAGCTTGACAGACAGACAGAAGCTTGATAGACAGACAGACAAAAAGCTCGATAGACAGACGGACCGACAGACAGCTTGATAGATAGATAGACAGACAGACAGACATCGACACATAGGTGACACACAGGCATATAGAGGGACGAATGGATGGACGGAGAGGCGTGAAAAAGAAGGACAGTCAGACTTATAAACCAGTAAAAACAAACCGCGAAGAAGGAAGATCAGACAAAACGAACTCCTTGAACGAGTTTACTGTAGCGAATGAAGAAAGATGTTCTTTGTCTGTAATAATTTTTCTGATAATAAAATAAGCATACCACAGGAATCCTTATTGTTTCTTCTATCTTGTGGTAAATCTCCCATTTATGGAACTTCGCGAAGTCAAAGAAACACTTTTCTAACTTCATTGACGGCCCTGCTAGAACCACTCCGTAGGTCTTCTGGTAGTCGAAGACCTTTAATACTCGTAAATCGCGATTGGAGGACAGATGCCTTTGCATGGACAGGACATACACGTCAATAAGAGCGCCTTCTACCTCTTTGTCTTTGAGAGCTTTGTTTATGGCACTATATGTATGATACTGTTGAACTATGAAACGGAAGAAAAGGGTAGTTAATTTAACTAGGAGTCAACATTTCATAAATCAAGAAAGTACTGTATGTTACATGCCACTATGCTACCAATGGAGAACATCTGCGCAGGATGGAAAACCAAACTATACATCTTGAGAATCTGGGGGGAAAGCAGCATGAAATCCGACCTCTTTTTGCATGAATTTTGAAACTGAAGTTTATGTCTGGCAAAAGAATTGCTCTCGGTCCGAACTAAAGGTTATTGCGATAAAAATAACGTTAAATCAAGCCCCTGCCTCCGAGATGGATTCGCCATTTTCAGGTTAATGGTAATAGATAAAATCGCGGAATTGGACGCAGTCATACAGTAACGCGGCGGAAATTCTTAACAAACCGTCTTCAAGTGAAGAAGTAAAAATGATCGGTAGTAGAAGATGTCGGACGTAAAGTGGTCTGCAAGAGTTAAGATAGTTCTGAAGTAACTATGCCTACGTGTCGTACCTGGATTCATACGTGCCACTTTGCGCAGCCCAAATAAATATTCCGGAGAACCTTGGATGGCTCCAACCTAAAGAAAGTGTATGGCTTCAGTTTGGAAGGTGTCATTTGTGATGACCGAAATTCATCCTTTTTAAGTAACTACGAGTTTTCACCATACCCAAAGCCGATTGGGAGCTCGAAGGTATCTTTGGAGACTATAGGGTATTTTCGGATAATGACCTCGATTTCGCTTTCCATCGACATGATTGGCTGAGCAAAACGTAATGTTTTCCATAGATGGATCTAATTATCACATCCTGTAATAGTTTTACTAGGTTCAGCCTTCCGCTCAGCGGCGCTCCTTTGGCTTTTTCTGGAGTCAATCGTCTCTTCAATGACTGTGACCAAGAGATTATAAACTGTTTATATTCTCTCGCTGTAACTCATACGATGAACTTACCTTAGCACCATAAACTTTCTTGTTGGTGGTTTTAAACAAAGAATATGATATGAGAGCATTGGTCATATCAGCCAAAAGAAACGAAATCATGACGAGGCCAAATAGCGTCCAGGCTATCGCAAAAAGTCTTCCTAGGAGGGTACGAGGAACCTTGTCGCCATAACTTGAAAAAAATGAAAAAAAGACTACTTTTAACGAAAAACTTGGTACATACCCAATTGCACCTCTATTAAATGAGCGTTCTATCAGGAACAACACAGAAGTTTCGCACCTTACGTTCTTTAGAGAACATTTCATTTCACCATAAAGAAAAAATGCATTTCTTTGACTTTAGCTTTACCTCCTTCCACCGATCAGTTTGAAAAAGTAAATATTTCATAATCAAGCTAAAAAATATATTTTCAGTCATCGTGCTCGTCTCTCTTGTAACCCAGCCTTTTACCCCAAGATAATAAACTCCTCACCCTAATGTTGTGCATGTGATGAAGGACCACCAAAATCCTTCCCATAATCCTCCTATGAACGAACTTGGAAACTCCTCGGGGTTAGTTGTCGATTCCTATCAAATATAAGATGGGAACACAGCAAACTTTTAAACATAATAGACGGGTATCAATTTTGTTAATTTTAACACCATTTCTAAGAATGCACCTCTCAAGTATTTATTCTTGAAAATATAATATATTTTTAATCATTTTCACAATACTAGGATTTTATAGAGCCTCTACTACTGATAAGTCACTTAATCAGAACTAAACGAGCAAATTATGACGGAATTGTAGATGATATTCATTGCGCGCCCATATCGACAGTTGTGAGTGCTAATACGACGATCAACGGTACGCAGGAAATTCAGTATCTTCACTGAGATTTTTTGACGAATTTGCAGCTCTTCCAAGGATCAGTGAAAGTTAGTGAGAAGAAGCTTACTTTATTTTCGGTTGGCAATTAATGGCATATAAATCGCTGTCGACATTTGTGGCCTATCATGACTTATTACCTCTGTGAACTAACTCATCTCAATTTTCCAATATTAACTAAGAGAACACCGACCTCTAGATCAAAAAGGAACTTTGTGATACAAATGGAACTCATTCAACTTACAAGAACCCATATAACACTTGCGGCCAGCGCCATCATTAACAATGAAAGGAGCAGCATGGGGAAGCAGGCAGTGGCGACCCATATCACAAAACTGGCTCTCTCTTCAGGTGAAGGCACAGGTACGACAAAAGCCACCCCGGCCGACTCCATCAAAGGTACATAGCGATACACCCCAAATGTAGACTGACCCCTGTACCCCTCTATGGGGAAGCTCAAGTCGGTCTCGTACTCAATCTTGTGTACTAACGACACGTTATCCTTTTCAGCGGGTACTCCTTCTCTGTCATGTTCATAATCCACTGAAGTGGCTCCGTGTCCATTGGTGCAAGGCAAACAGCACGTGCGAGTTGCCCAGTTTAATATAAATGGAAAAGCTCCTATGTAAGAACCGTTCTCAAGCTTCATGTAAGGAGGCAGGGAATGCCAGTTAGTTGTCATTCTCAATGGGCACGTGCAAGTTTCTGAAAGACAATAGTTAATGATAAGACTGATTTGATTCATTCGTTTCGCATCAAACAAGAGATAATGCGTTCTCCTTTTATACTGGTGCTTGCGACCATATTTTATTTTTCTATAAAAGACTTTGTTGACAACATTTTCTAAATGTTTTCGGCTTCAAGCTTAATTCGAGCTAACGAGGGAGACTACGAGGAAAACATGAAGACAGTTTTTGACCATGAGTTGATGAGTGTTGATCACAAGTTGTGGATAAAATATATACATCATACATCCTAGCTTTCTTTTTCTTTTTTTTTTTCCTCTGTCTCATTTTTCAGGCATTCTTTTTACAACTTTAACACACCTGCTATAATGCTTTGAGTTTCCGCTCCGTCCCCTTTCACTGTGAATGCTAACACTCGTATGTCATATACAGCATAGTTCAGAAGCCCTGTCAATGTAAAATTCAGTGCTGTTGGTTTGGCTGTTGCGGTTAATGTCGGTTGCCTCACGTCTTCTTCAGCTATACTCAGTACTCTGTAGAGGATGCGATATCCCAACAAGATTCCGTGCACAAAGCCCTCTGGGACTGGCTTCCAGGACACCAGAATGGAATGTGGTCCACTCAAGTTAACCGCGCTAGGTCCCACAGGTGGCTTGCTGGGGACTTAAAAACAGTCAAGTGTACGTTTCAACTGGTTTAGTGTTTTGATGATTTAACATCATCGTTTTCCTGACTTTATACACTTCACACTTCCGATTTATTTCTTGTTACTTTGAAGTAAGACGAGGTTTAATCCTATACAATATGCGATTTACTCATCTGTAATAAAAGTTCACTGCAAACTTAGAAAAGATTTATTTTTTATTTTATATCATACTCGCGAAACTAAGGTTTGGTGTGCCTCAGCAGCAGCAACCATCACGTAATTAGAATCACTAGGCCCATGACATGACGGTGAAATTTCTAAGGTCACTCCTATCATAGGTAGTTGACCACGTTTATGATCAGTGGTATCTATATAATTAATACCACAGTTATTCCACTCCACTACATATTAACAACTATAATGTTTGCAATACACTTACTGTCCTCATCCGTGCTCACGTTATAAGTTAGGCTTATTTGGCCGTCGCCTTTACTCGTAAAGCCAACAATTTGAAAGGAGTAATAAGTAAACTTTTTTAGGTTGAATATTCTAAGAGATGTTGCGTTCGGAGGTAAGGTTCTAACGGTTTCGTTGAGAGTTTCGACAGATCTTATGCGCCTTCTTCTCCCATGATATGTGTTTGTGTGCTGATAGTAAAACACTCGGTATCCCAGGAGAATGCCATGAACTAGTTTCTTGGGAATCTGTTCCCAAGTGATCAATAGACTCGTGGAACTTGTGTTAGTTGAGGTTATATTCAGCGGTGGAAGACTTGGGACTAAACACGAAAAAAAGATGAAGAATGCTATCAAAATTGTGGAAAGGTTTTCTCAAAAAAGTCTCGTTTCCTTTTCTTTTACTTTACTTCATTTAAATTTCTCAACTCTCCGTCAACATTTAAAGTAATAGAGTACACTACCAATCGCCCTCAACAATCCGTGGCTGGTCTTTGAGAATCCTAGGGCCTGGACCTAATGCAACCGCTATTTCAGTTGTCACACGATTGTTTATGTCAATCAACACTCTCGTTCCTTAAAATTGTTGCGTGACGAATTGGTAACGGCCGTGTAAGAGGCAGAGCCCAGTAAACGCAACTTACTCGCGGTTCTAGTTATAACTACAGTAGCTTAGTTACTCTACATCTTACCATCTTGATCTGTGATGATAACAATGGGTGGACTATTCACTCCAAAGAATTTGCTAATTCCTTGAATTTGAAAACTATAATTGGTATACTTTTCAAGATTTGTCAGGTTTACAGACAACTGGTCGATTGGCAGTCTTAGCGTATGCGTCTTTACCGGATCATTCAAATCGTTCAGTTCGACATAGACAACTCTGTACTCCCGCAAAACGCCAGCTACTAATTCCGGTGGAATAGCAGACCACTGAAGGTAGATAGAGCGGGAGGTGGTGTTTTGCCCGGTGACATTCCACGGGTATACTTGAGGTGCTGTAGAGACAATGAAACAAGAGCAGAAATTTTTTTTTTTAACCAGAGAAATTTTAATTTAGAGTCGAATGTGAAAAGCTACTCAAGCTACTCATATTTTGAGAGAAGAGTAGTTAAAAAGCAATCCATCGGCAAAGCGAACGTGCATCATGAAAGAGGAAAGAAGGCGGGGCTCGGTCGCTCCTTTTTCTTCTTGATCTTTGGTGGGTCAAGAAGTCGCATTTGCCCCCATGAGGCTCCAAACAGGGGAAATCTTGCCTTTAAATCACATTAAAGGCAACAGTATCTGAATTTAGTTTCTTCTGCCATGTTCCTTACCTTCTTCTTCTGTTCTTAAGGTGATTGGTGGGCTCTTTGGCCCATTTCCTTTTATGGTAAATGCAAGCACTTGTATCGTGTAGAAGGTATATGGTCTTAGGAAGCTCAAAGTGACGTTTTTTCTTGGAAATGGAACAGTTTCATTAAAGACTTCGTCCGATGACTCATTGAAGAAAACCATATATCCAAGCAGGATACCATTGACGTCACGAAAGGGGACATCCTCCCATAAGACCCGGATGTCGTGCTTGCTGATGTTATAGCCATAAACATGCTGCGGGGGAGCTCCAGGGACTAAAGATAAATTGACATAGTTATACCTCATAGTAATACCTCCCCAAGGACGGTTCAACCAGTAGGGCAGGTGGGGCATTTGCGCAACCAATTATGGACGATACAAAAAAAGAAGAGGTTGGAGGGAATAGGAGGGAAACCTGAGGGATAAAGACATCGATTAACCAGATATCGGTCGGATTATGCTAATCAAATTCTTAAAATAAGTATTACTTTAATTTTGTTAATTCAAAGGCAATCCTCCGCTCACTGAGGGAAAATCACGGCTGGGCGAAGGCCTGGCATCGATTCCAGGTTTAAGTCGAAAGTCTACAGTCGTGGTTTTTATAGAGGAAGGAAAACCTGTAGACCTGGACAAAAAACCTCTGAGGTTGGAAGAGAACAGAAAAAAGACTACACCCACAAGTGGCTACTAGCTCAAGATGTACCTGAACGTGCCACACGAAACCGCAGACAAAACGATAGACCACGTTGCAGACTTTTTGAGATGCTGGCCTATGACAACAATTTAAGAAATAGTATCCGGACTTCAGCGGCGAAGGCAGAGCATTATCATCCTAGCTTCGCCCTCCCCAGTCTCTCTGAATATGTTTTAAATAACGAATTAAAATTTAGATTAGTTGTTACTTCCCTTACCATCCTGATCAGTAGTGCTGTTGATGCGGTGAAAAGGACCTGCTCCCTTCACTGTATAGGCGAGAACCCTAAATTCGTACTCAACGTACTCGTCTAAACTTTCCACCTCCAGCGACAAAGTTGAACTGCACACTCGTACTTGCACAGTGGATTCCAGACCATCTAATCTGTCGTAAGTGATGTGGTAACCACGGAGTATGCCGTGAAGAAAGTAGGGGTCAGCCAATGGCTTCCATGACAACAAGATTGAGGTAGAGCTCGTATTCCATGCGGTAATATGCGAAGGCCTCCAGGTTGGCACTAGGAGAAAAAGTGTATTTTGTTGTAAGAAAAATGTCCATCATTTAATTTCATGTACACAAAACAAAAACGAGATGGATACTGAGATAATAACTTGGGCTTCGCATACGCTACACTGAATATATTTTGTACGCTTCATGGTGGACAATTTAACCCTCTCGCCCCCAAGATCCCGTCAGTAATTCTTTCTACTGTCTGCCATACAATTCTTAAAATGTTGGTGCGGAGAATTTGGTATTGGATCAACTAATAATCCCCTAAATGATATTTTCCTTTATTCTCATCATTTATGTACTTGATATTCAAAGGATATTGTGAGGAGAAATTCTGTCTCAGGAGTTAACCTTATTATCGTGGACACTGGGCTTATCCGGAAGAATCAATAGACGTTTTCAAATTATAAGCTGCGTAGTATGGAGATCGACTGGCTCATGAACATCTTTTTGCGTTAGATCTGCATATGACTGTGTTGAAGACCAGCAGGTTTCAGCAGGTGTCAAACTTAGTGACAATTTTATTGTGAAATCTTCATCAGTGTGCTACAATAATGACTTAAGGAATAAATTTAAGGTATTTCAAAATGTTAATGTTTCTATGGAAACAGAGATCAACATATGTTTCCTGACTCAGCGACGAAATATTTTTAACAATCTAAATTTTGGAAAGTATTCTGAAGTACATAATGAACATGGTAAATTTTCTTTTCTTCCCCTTTAGGCGTGCCAAGAAACGTTAAAGGCGCTAACTTCGCATGCCAGATGCTTTTGACACCGAATCATCTGTTTTGCTTATTATACTTAACTTGAGGACATGGAAATGAGATAGAAAAAAACTAGAAATTGCATTTGTATTCAGAGTATCTGTAAAGCCTCGATACGCTAGCTCGCACCGATACGAAAAGAGATCCCTCCACACACGGCTAGCGCTAACAATGGGTTCAGTAAATCTTACAGACAATGGAAAGAAAAAATTTGAACAATTGTATTGCTCTGCAGTTTTAGCCGAAGAAACTCAAGAATGGTTTGTGTATATTTCAGCGACGAATATTTTTCTTTCCATAACGGCTTTCACGTGGAATTTCCTAACGCTTGTGGCCTTGCGCAAGGAATCTTCTCTTCATCCGCCGTCGAAGCTCTTGCTTCGCTGTCTATGTATCTCTGATCTCGGGATTGGTCTTCTTGCGGAGCCTCTTCATGTCGCTTATGTATTGGCACTAACGAACGGACGTTGGGATGTCTGTCCGTATGTATTATTCTCTTCAACTATGGTAAGCTATACTTTAAGTGGAGTCACTTTGCTGACTATGACCGCTATTAGCGTGGACAGACTTCTCGCCCTCTTGCTAGGCCTTCAATACAAAACTGTTGTCACTATAAAGCGAACGCGTGTGTTCGTACTCGCCTTTTGGATTGTGTCGGGAATCTCAGCAACGACGTTTTTGGTTAACTACTTTCTAAGCTTATTATACGCTACTGTCGCAATATCTTTGTGTGTGTTAACATCTATTTTTTCGTACGCTAAAATTTTTTCCACTCTTAGAAATCATCAGAGACAAATTTGCCCTCAGCAAGTGAATCAAACTTGTCGCCGATTGGATAAAGCGCGACACCGAAAGCGAGCGCTCGCTGCGCTGTGGTTGCAGTTCGCGCTAGTTTTGTGTTATTTACCGTTTGGTGCAGTAAGTTTTGTGGGAGCTAAGACCTCGGCTCAAGAAAAAGTGTCTTCGTCCTTTTTCCTTGCCAGAGTGATTACAATCACCTTAGTATATCTCAACTCGTCACTAAACCCGGTTCTTTACTTTTGGAAGATGAAGTCGGTGAGACAAGCAATGAAAAAGACAATTGAAAACATACTTCGTTTGTTTAGAAATTGACTGTTATTATATTTTCCGAAAGATTTGTTTATTTTGATGTTTAACAGCTCATCGGCTGCTTAAAGGAGTACGTTGTTTTGTTGCCTTGGGAAAGAAGAAAAAAAATTGAGCTCGCCCTGAATTCATCCGCTTTTGTTTGTTGGAGGTAGGAATTTCCTAGGAAGAAATTGGGTTTTTTAGAGTTTCTTCTGGTACAAGAAGGAGACTTTTAAAATTTTAAATTTTTTAATTTGATGTCGGGTTAACACAGGAACATTTTGTACTTGTTTGATTAACTTTTAGGACTGAATAATGCAATCATAATGCAGTTGGTCACTCCCCTGAATAATGCCTATCTTCACTAAACTGAAAAAACAAAAATGTCATTTGGTCCACAAAAAGTTGAAAAAAATTAAAAAAACCAAAAAAGACACGAAAGCGTTTGCGGTTAGGAGATCAGATGTTCCATGTCGCCATAAACGAAAAAAAAAACAATTTGAATCCCAAGTGACTTCCGCCTTAGTAAAAGAGAAATATGCGAATTTTATAAAAAGCATTTTATCATCGAGTTCTAAAATGTTGTTGTCCATACTACTTATCCTCGACAGATAAAAATTATATATTCTTCGAATATTTGTCTTGGTCTACAACAAAGTTTGACGGACCTTGGAAACAATCCTTTAGCCTTTTATCCCCTACGAGAGACCAGCAGTATCTAATGTCTCCTTACATTATCACCACTGAATTAATTATAGAGCCAGGAGCCCATTACTTGGGCTCCTGATAAAGCTCATGCGAGTGAGAAAGAAATGTTCACAAAATTAATGTTAAAAATATCTTGACTGTTATAAAAGTTTTCACTGTATGTATGGAAGGAAGTGGATAGAGAACACAATGGAGGAAGTGGATATAACTGTTAGCGTGTAAAGGGTCGATTAGCGGTTGATGAACCCACCACCTGCCTTTGTACGCTCTCCTCACGTATTCTTCCCCCTCCAGGAAAACGCAACCAAAAGAAGCGTCTTTCTTTGAGTCTAAGCTTACAAGAACGTCTGATGGAATATTCAATTTTATTCGGGCGTCATTTTTAAACAATTTAATTCGAATTATAGACTATGGTGCTTCAACATGTCCAACAAGGAAAAATATGATTGAATAACTGAATGACGTCTATTTTTAAAGGCTTCGCAGGCGTCATTTTTGAAAATTGAAAAGTTTAATTTCATATGCAACAGCTGCCTTATTTACCTTAAAGTCTATAAAACAGACCATCACTGACTACATCTTTTTTTATTTTTTAATGATTTCCTTTGTTAAAATTGAAATTTTAATCGCTTGTTCCTTTCTTTGTTTCTTTTGTTGCCTCGAAACTTTGGTGTCCACGCATAAAAGGCCACTTAAAATTCATGTCACGTTACAACTTTCAATGGAAATGAAAGTACAAAATAAACAGAACGTAGTGGCCACATTCCATGCTAAGTGAAATGATCCCCGCATTACATTTTCTACTTCAGGATGGTTTTTATATCAAAAATAAACAACATAATTGCGTATTGCCGTAACTTGCCTCGGAACACGCATCTTTGCATCGTTGCTAAGCTATCTGCTAACCCGGCCAACTTAGCCCATCGCCAGCTTTATCTGTTTCATGAAATGCAACCGATTAAGTCAAATTTTTCCAGTTATAACTAAAGTTAAATGAAAACTAAACCAAAAGGTAAAAACCAATTAATTATTTTGAGTTCCTATGTTTCCACCTTCTTTCGCCATTATACGTAACGCCGAGGTTAAATGGACTTAAATTACAAACGTGACCATTTTGATAATTTTAAAATTTAAAAATGACAAATTAAGGAAGTTTTTTAGAAGAAAAATCAAACTGACGCGGAGGTCGAGACACGGCAAAGGTGTAGGTTGTCATCAATAGGTTAACCCCTTAACTCCCAAGATCTCACAAGTAATTCATTCTCCTTACTGTCTCATATACAGTTCTTGTGATTTTAGTTTGGAGAACTTGGTATTGGATCAACTTATAATCCCCTCACTGATATTATTCTTTATTCTCATCACTTGTCTGCTTCATATTATATTGATATTGTGAGAAAAAATTTCTGTCTTGGCCACTTATGGGAATTTAAGGGTTAATTTATCTTTTTTTGGCTCTGCAGCATATTCATAGAAAACTTCGTATCCCATACTGACTGAACGTTTTTTTAACGTAAGGGTAATTATATTCAAAAATAAGAAAATGTTATAATGATGATAACTGTAAAATAATTGATAGCCTGATGGATCGCCCACCAATCCGAACCAAAAAACCTTGCTGGAGGTGCTAGCGGGTAGTACATTGGACGTGCTTATATCGAAAATATTTGTTGACAATTAACGACCTATTGGTGTCGTTTTCGACCATCTTGCGTTGAGTTATAATTTGATGTCAAGTGATGGCAGGAGAGTGCTGGATAAATGAGTGGTGCAATTGATCTCAGTTTGAACCCAATTGGTGAAAGTCAAATTACCCCGCAATTGAAACAACAATGACAATCGTTATGCGTGATTCACGGCTTGCGTCGATGATGCGACTATTTATAGCGATGCACTGCAATTTCTCACGTACTGTACCGAAGCGCTTCACTCATTCCAATTTAGAAAAAAAATCTTTATCGACTCATTAGAGAAAGATAAGGATGGAAAACGAAACCGTCGATGAAATACAAAAAACTTCAGGTAACTTATACTGTTCCCTTGATGGAGCTCTTGTTGAGGACGTGAAGCAGTTTTCGATGTTTTTGGCAGCTTTTGACATTATTCTGTCATTAGTCGCATTTCTGGGAAACACTCTGATCCTCGATGCTCTTCGCAAGGAGTCTTCCATCCGTCCACCTTTTGGTCCACAAAAAGTCGAAAAAAAATTTAAAAAACGCGAAAAGACACGAAAGCGTTTGCGTTTGAGATCAGATGTTCCATATAACCATACACGAAAAAAGACTTCCACCTTAGTAAAAGAGAAATATGCGAATTTTATAAAAAGCATTTTATCATCGAGTTCTAAAATGTTGTTGTCCATACTACTCCTCGACAGATAAAAATTATATATTCTTCGAATATTTGTCTTGGTCTACAACAAAGTTTGACAGATCTTAGAAACAATCCTTTAGCCTTTTATCCCCTACGAGAGACCAGCAGTATCTAATGTCTCCTTACATTATCACCACTGAATTAATTCTAGAGCCAGGAGCCCATTACTTGGGCTCTTGATAAAGCTCATGCGAGTGAAAGAAATGTTCACAAAATTAATGTTAAAAATGTCTTGCCTGTTATAAAAATTTTCACTGTCAGTATGGAAGGAAGCGGATAGAGAACACAATGGAGGAAGTGAATATAACTGTTAGCGTGTAAAGGGCCGATTAGTGGTTGATGAACCCACCACCTGCCCTTGTACGCTCTCCTCACGCATTCTTCCCCCTCCAGGAAAACGCAACCAAAAGAAGCGTCTTTCTTTGAGTCTAAGCTTACAAGAACGTCTGATAGAATGTTCAACTTTAGTGGGGCGTCATTTTTAAAAAATTTAATTCGAATTATGGACTATGGTGTTTTAACATGTCCAACAGGGAAAAATTTAATTGAATAACTGAATGACGTCTATTTTTAAAAGGCTTCGCAGGCGTCATTTTGAAAATTGAAAAAGTTTAATTTCATATGCAACAGCTGCCTTATTTACCTCAAAGTCTATAAAACAGATCATCACTGACTACATCCTTTTTTATTTTTTAATGATTTCCTTTGTTAAAAATTGAAATTTTAATCGCTTGTTTCTTTGTTTCTTTTGTTGCCTCGAAACTTTGGTGTCCACGCATAAAAGGTCATTTAAAATTCATGTCACGTTACAAATTTCAATGGAAATGAAAGTACAAAATAAACAGAACGCAGTGGCCACATTCCATGCTAAGTGAAATGATCCACGCATTACATTTTCTACTTCAGCATGGTTTTTTTTTCAAAAATAAACAACATGATTGCGTATTGCCGTAACGTGCCTCGGAACACGCATCTTTGCATCATTGCTAAGCCATTTGCTAATCCAGCCAACTTAGCTCATCGCCAGCTTTATCCGTTTCATGAAATGCAACCGATTAAGTCAAATTTTTCCAGTTCAGTATTACTGAAGTTAAATGAAAACTAAACCAAAAGGTAAAAACCAATTATTTTCAGTTCCTATGTTTCCACCTTCTTTCGCCATTAGATATTAACGCCGAGGTTAAATGGACTTAAATTACAAACGTGACCATTTTGATAATTTTAAAATTTAAAAATGACAAATTAAGGAAGTTTTTTAGAAGGAAAATCAAACTGACTCGGAGGTCGAGACACGGCAAAGGTGTAGGTTGTCATCAATAGGTTAACCCCTTAACTCCCAAGATCTCACAAGTAATTCATTCTCCTTACTGTCTCATATACAGATCCTGTGATGTTAGTTTGGAGAACTTGGTATTGGATCAACTTATAATCCCCTTACTGATATTATTCTTTATTCTCATCACTTGTCTGCTTCATATTATATTGATATTGTAAGAAAAAAATTCTGTCTTGGTCACTTATAGGAGTTTAAGGGTTAATTTATCTTTTTTTGGCTCTGCAGCATATTCATAGAAAACTTCATATCCCATACTGACTGAACGATTTTTAACGTAAGGGTAATTATATTCAAAAATAAGAAAATGTTATAATAATGATAACTGTTAAATAATTGATAGCCTGATGGATCGCCCACCAATCCGAACCGAAAAACCTTGCTGGAAGTGCTAACGGGAAGTACCTTGGGCGTACTTATATCGAAAATATTTGTTGACAATTAACGACCTATTGGTGTCGTTTTCGACCATCTTGCGTTGAGTTATAATTTGATGTTAAGTGATGGCAGGAAAGTGCTGGATAAATGAGTGGTGCAATTGATCTCAGCTTGAACCCAATTGGTGAAAGTCAAATTACCCCGCAATTGAAACAACAATGACAATCGTTATGCGTGATTCACGGCTTGCGTCGATGATGCGACTATTTATAGCGATGCACTGCAATCTTCTCACGTACTGTACCGAAGCGCTTCACTTATTCCAACTTAGAAAAAAAATCTTTGTTGATTCATTAGAGAAAAATAAGGATGGAAAACGAAACCGCCGATGAAATACAGAAAACTGCAGCTAACTTATACTGTTTCCTTGACGAAGCTCTTGTTAAGGAAGTGAAGCAGTTTTTGATACTTTTGGCAGCTTTTAACATTATTCTGTCATTAGTCGCATTTCTGGGAAACACTCTGATCCTCGATGCTCTTCGCAAGGAGTCTTCCATCCGTCCACCTTCAAAGCTCTTTTTTCGCTGTCTTGCAGCAACTGATATTTGCGTTGGAACTTTGATCGGGCCGCTCAGTGTTTACTATTGGATATCCACCGCAAACAAGCGATTGAGTAACTGTCAAGCTGTTGTCTCCGTCCTATTCCTGACGGCAAACATCTTGACCTTAGTCTCTCTGTTGACGGTGACTGCGATAAGCGTGGACAGACTGCTCGGCCTGTCACTGGGGCAGAAATTCAAACATGTTGTTACCTTGAAGCGAACGTACGTGGTTGTAACTGCCTTTTGGATCATGTCGATTGGCATTGCGATACTGCCCCTGTATAATTTCCTCGTGTATTCCTGGTGCGTTTACACGATCGTAACATTATGTTTAGCAACCGCGATATTTACTTACACCAAGATATTTTGCACGCTCCGTCACAATCACAATCGAGCAATCTGCGTTCTTCGTCATATGACTCCGCTAACTTTGGCGCGATACAAGAAGGCAGTATCCAGCTCCCTTTGGGTGCAAGCGACGATGGTCGTTTGTTTTCTACCCCATGTTATAGTAGGTATACTCGGACAAGTTTTGCAGGATCGGAGTAAACATGCAAACTCTTTTCTTTTTATTACAAAGGCGTGTACAGTGACTTTAGTTTACATAAACTCCTCTTTAAACCCGATTCTTTACTGTTGGAGGATCAAATCAATCAGAAATGCAGTGAAAGCCAGAATGAAACAAATTTTTTGCTGTTAGCTCTTGCTGTTTCATTTTGCGTTATAAAATTAAAACCAACTTGCAACAAGCATTCAACTTGCCTGAAATGGTCTTCATTCTCGGAACGTTATTCTATTTAGAGAACCTTGGCGAAGCTGTGTTGAAATATCAAATAGTACAAGAGGAGATAAAACTTGATATGTTTCATTAGCATTCGGTAAAGATACCCAAACAATAGCTCATAATTTTCTTTAGAAAAAATAAAAACAAATTGGCTGTGTCTAGTTCCACTGTACCATACCCAAGAGGACTGTACTTCAAACCGCCCACTTGAGTCATACAAACACAATGTATGCTTCAGAAGAGCTCTTTTCAACGAAAACGTTCTCTCAATTTACACAAGCGAAGAAAACAGCTTATTTATTGGAGGGGTTCGCTCTGCTTAATCTACTTGTTAGGATGAATTAGTGAATAGACCTGCCTTTTGGTCCTTCCGCAATTTCTTGAAAACTCTTTTTCTATTTTTTTTTTGTTTTTTTTTTTTGTTTTTTTCTTGCACTCCATCTTAATTTTAAGCATGACTCGCGCTTCGGCACTCGACTCCGAGTCTCGGTTACATTTGCTTGGAAAATATTTGCCATTGCTTTTAATATGGCCAAATGTTCCTATCACGTTTGAAAAAAAACTGTGGTTTACTTTTTATCCAAGAGCTGCCCGAAATGGCGAATGAAAAGGTAAGGAAAAACTTCGATCTCATAAGCATTACCGTCGTTATGAATGAGGCAAAACAGCGTTAAAGATATGTTAGGGTGAGTTGCACCGATTCCTAATTTCTGCTATCATCATTGTTCGTTTTCCATATCGTGATTGATAAGGTTTACCACAATTAATATTGGCAATCTTTAAAACGTACGATTAACATGTTCCAACTAATGCTAATCGAACAACGATAAATTTATCTTCAAAGCTTATTTTAAGGTTAGTTATCTTCCTTATTGCAATTAATGCCACCCTTAAAACCTTTTGCTTAGTGAGTTATGAGTGATAAAATGTATATTCAGTATCCAATTGGTAAAAACAAAACGGCAAAAAGGAGAGGAAGAAAGTGCGGCTGACAAAACGTGGTTATTGAAAATTCGGAATTAAAAAAATTCGAAATGTTTTTCATGAATATTTATTGGTTCCAAGTATCAAACCTTCACGAGAGCTGAAAGTCTTTGTTGTTCTTGTTTTTGTTGCTTGTTTTTGTTGCTTCTCTTTTATTTATTTATTCATTTATTTTGTTTATTCGAGGAATACGTACCATTCGCTCTACGACCTTTCATTGAGATTCAGTAAACCATTTATTCAGCTTGTACGTAACGTATTCATTTGCCAAAGACGTGTTCAATCATCGAATGATGGCTGAAAGCTTAAATTGGCCATCCGTAGAAGACTTTATAAAAAATAATCAACAAAGACAGCGGAATCAAAATTTCCGAAGCCAGATCCTTCAAATTTAAACAAAGCGTAAAAACCGGTCATTAGCAAAGACAACCTATGAGGAAAAAACGCTTACTTGTCGGACTATAAACAAGAATCGACGAAAGCACGTCAAATCGCACCAATAGCAATTAACCAATATGCTTAATAAACAGCGGCACTTCGTCATTCAAAACCGATGGACATTCGCAGTAAATTACATGTGGTAATGGAAAAGTCGCGATCCTGAATTGAATAGACAAACGATTAAAATTCTTTTTGTCGATTAAAATTCGGTACGTTTCATTTAGATGCAAATGTGTGTCGCTCAGGCACAGTAATTTTCACAAACAGCACCAGAAAGTCTAAAATTTACATCTTAGAAATAATAGAAATTTAGAAATAATATCTTCACCGGGGAAACAATCTCCAAGTTACTTGTGTATGTAAAAAATACAAGGGAAGAAAATATTTGTTTTATTCAGTGTTTTTCAATATTTTTGTCTCCTTTTCAACCGCAGTAAAGCTTAGTGGGTTTAATTACGTTCTCTAAAGAAACGAAACGATCATGCACTTCGGAAAGCAGATGCTCCTTCGCCCTTAAAAAAATGAATTTGCTCCCTTTAAAATCGAATTTAAAAAAATACGGCCAAAAATAATTTCTTTCATATGCTGACAAATAAAAAAACCTGCAAAAGTGAAAGGTGGAAAGAAGCTTAGAACTTGATGAGATAAGTTATTTATTTTTATGAATGACATTTTCAGTACAACTGTCTGGTACTATGCTAATACTTCAAATCGGAAACGCGTTTTGACTTAGAAATAAAATTAAAAAATTAAAAGGCGGCAGCTAACTGTATTCCTTTTAATCGTACGAGACTGAGTTAATTTTAAACTTAAAGCGACAAAGTACTTTTTTAACTCTGGCTTTCACTGCATCTCTCACTGATGCAATCTTCCAACAGTAAAGAATTGGATTTAAGGACGAGTTTAAGTAAACTAAAGTCACTGTATATACTTTCATTAGAAAAACTGATGACGTTGCAGGTTCACCAGGATCCTGTAAAACTTGTGACACTACTCCAGCAACAGCATACGGTAAGTAACACACAACCATTGTCAGCTGCACACATAATGCGCTGGACACTGCGTTTCTGTAGCGTGCCAAGGTGAGCGGAGTCATTTGACGAAACGCGCTGAGTGTCTGGTTCTGATGATGACGAAGAGTACGGAATATCTTGGTGTAAGTAAAAAGAGCGGTTACTAAACAAACTGATATGACCGTATAGGCGAACCACAAATACGCCCGAAAGTTTATTGAGGACATCACCCCAAAAATAATGGATATGATCCAAAAGGCAGTTAAAACCGCATACACCCGCTTCAAAGTCACCTCTCGGTTATATCTCAAACGCAACAAAAGGGCAAGAAGTCTGTCAACCCCTATTGCAGTTGAAGTTAAAAGGGAGACTTGTGTTAGGATACTGCCAATAACAAAAACTATGGCAACTAGAAAGCGACAATAAATCCATCGATCTTTCATTATGGAAATCCAGTGAAAGACAACCAGAGGCCCTATTATGACACCAACACAAATATCAGTCGTTGCAAGGCAGCGAAAGAAGAGCTTTGATGGTGGACGAATGGAAGACTCTTTGCGAAGTGCATCGAGAATTACAACGTTTCCAAGAAAGGCCGTAATGGACAGAAAAATGTTGAAAGTTGACAAAAACGTTAACTGAGGTCGTATGTCCTGGATTAGAGTTTGCGATAGAGAACAGTATATGTTTCCCACAGTCGCTTGTTTTCTGTCGAGAGTTTCATTTGCCATTCTTCTCTTGGTATATAGTCACTCGACAATGCACTCGACCAAACTGTGTTTTCAAATTAAACCATATTTATGCACGGCCACTGCATGAACCCCAATTAATCAGCGCACCACACGTGTGCGTTATACAAAATATTTTGTATTTTTGTACACAGATTGCTTGACATTAATTTGCTTGAAGGAGTTAAATGGCGCCGGCCTTCTCTCTCGGCAATTTTTTCATTTGCGAAGTGGTGCGAATAATTACAATCACTCACGATTCACTGCTTCTCTTTATCATCTTTTAAGGAAAAGAAATCCTCTCAGCAACACTTCCACCAAACATGCGGGATCATGTTCCAAGTAACGCAAGTACACCGTGGATAATCCTACACTTCTAACGACGACCCAAAGCGTAAGAGGTGGAGCCGTTCTTTAATCCCTTTTAAGATCAATAACAAATTCAAGTTTCTGATTTTGATCTTAAATTGAGAACTTCCCCTTCCGTTTATGTAGATCAGTTTTGCAGCAATCAAATGCCGTTTTAACTGTGCCTTATTGAAACGGTTCTTGTAGGGCTGATCAAGCTCCCCTGGTATAATAGTTTAACGTCTCCTGTTCTTCTTTCTGTTAGTTTGACAAAATTACGTGTCCAATTAAAATTGGACAGTGGTAGTGTCCAATTTTGGACACGTAATTTTGCGATGAAAGCAGAACGTGACCATCTACACTAATCTAAAATCTAATTTTTTTCCTTTCAAATGCTTCTTTCGAATCAAAAGTGATATACTTTGCATTAAATTTCCTGAATCATTTAATACATTGACACTTTTTCTCACTGTTTAGGTGGCTTTGAAACAAATTGCACAACTTAGTGATGACGAAAGGCAGTTAGAAATTTCTACCGAAACGACAACCTCAGTTTTTTTTACGAGAAAAAAAATCTCTGAAGAGCATTATACCATTTGACGGTGTTCAACCCAAAGAAGAAATTATGCTTGATTTCCTCAGCTCAGTGTGTTGAGCTTCACAATGCTTTATCTCCAAAACATAGCTTTCTTCTTAACCTGCACCTTAAACAACCTCTTAAGATTTCAAATGGCCAAGTAGCTAAGAGAAATGTATAACTTGGAAACGCAGTGCAGACTAAACAACTGGAAATTGATTATTTCTGAAATAGCTCACGAAGAGGAACCAATCAAACACGTCCTCTCGATAAAGTCAAATTTCAGTTTTCAATCTGTGACTGAAAGAAAAGGCTTCCGGCTTTAAGGGAAGAGAAAGAGCAATTTCTTGCTTAAAAACAGATTTACAATGAAGGAAACCCTTGTACATACTAGTAAGTATAAACAATTTTTACAAAGCTTGACATGTCCTATTGATCGTGGGGTTCGATGAAAATTTATTACAAATAGAAAAGACAAAAAATACATATTTCCCCTCAGGGAAGTTTCTGCCATAACAGATAACGATGCGGTATGTGGTCAAATAAGCCCGGGGCGCTTTTGAAATTCGCTTTTTCGTGGAAATGGGGCGCTAATTCAAAGGGCTATATGCGTCACCAAGTTCCGGTGACCCTCCCAATCGCATTTAATTTCTGAATTTTTTTTCTTTAAGTTTACAGTGAAAAATAACCGTAGTAAACCATCTGCTCTTACTTTTGTGATCATTATTTCTCGCGAGGATATTAGACAACACGTTAAATGATTTGAATAATTATAAAATACGTTAGTCGTTATCACCTGTCGCGATGATATTAGACAACGCATTAAACTACTTGAATAACTTCCAAAGTCGTTGGAGACCATCTCTATCATATATTAATGATTGATTATTCTGGTGGAGAGAAGACACGTACATCAGTTTTGAGCCCGAACGGAGAACTCATTTGCAACTGGCGCTAATTCGAGCATTTAGGGTATTTATTTCATTGTTAAATTTTTGCTATTGCAGAGGCTTCAAAGAATATTGTTACGGGAAGAACATTGGCGCCATCGACATGTCCCATACTAATGATTATCATGTTTGTGAGCGTTGTCATGTGACTGATGATCATAAGGATTTAACGAGAACTTTCGTGTTATTTCCATATGAACTGAGGGTTCGTAGCCAGCTTGCGTATTATTCGCGCAGGTTTTATGATATTCACGGTTATGGCTATTGATTGAAAGCGGTCGTGGATAAGAAGACGACTGAATATCACGAGACTTTGCCCTCGACAATTCAAACACCCGTATCCCCAATTAATTACAGTAATTATACAAATCGAGTCGCCAGGCTAAGGATAGGATGGCGAATGAGAGTGTTTATGGAGGACAAAAGACTATGGAAAATGTTAACTGTTTACTTCTGAAGACTCTTATCGAAGAAGTAGAGCTCCAAATGACGTTTTTGTCAGTTTTTAACATTTTCATGTCCTTTGCTGCAGTCTTGGGTAATGTTGTGATCATCGATGCTCTTTCCAACGATTTCTTTTGTCGTTCATCCTCCAAGTTCTTCTTCCGCTGTCTGGCAACAACAGATATTTGTGTTGGAGTTATTTTAGAGCCTCTCACTGTCTGCTATTGGTTATCCATGGTGAAAGAACGATGGAATCATTGTCACTCCGTGGTAACCGCTATTTTCGTAATCGGCAATATCACAACTACAGTCTCTTTGATGACGGTGACTGCAATTATCATTGACAGACTTCTCGCCTTGCAGTTGGGACTCAGATACAAACATGTCGTAACGTCAAGGCGTATACACATAACTATCGCTGCCTTTTGGATCATTTCGTCAGCCGCTACAGTAATTTCCTTGTTGAATTTCCTCGCATATCTTTGGTATGTTTATGTAGTCATAGCATTATGCTTGGTAACCTCATCAATCGCCTTCGCCAAGATGTTCTGTACTCTTTGCGGGCATCAGAATCAAATACTTAGCTCTGAGCACCAGACAACTTCGTTGAACTTGATACGACTTAAAAAGGAAGTGTCCACCGCTTTCTGGGTGAAGTTGACAATGGTTGTTTGTTATCTTCCTCATGTTATAGTTGGCGTAGTATCGCAAATGTTGCAGGATCCAAGTGATCCCATATCATCGACATTTTTTATTACAAAGGCGTCTGCACTGACTTTATTTTATTTAAATTCGTCATTAAACCCTATTCTTTACTTTTGGAAGATCAAATCCATCAGACATACAGCGAAAACCAGATTTAAAAAATTACTCTTTGTTAGCTCTCGACGAAATATTGATCTCAATCCAAGATGGACAAAAGCGCCACATGTCGTTAGTAACTTCTGAGTCATCGTATTTGAATATTAATACACGCATTGCTAGTCAATATATCAACACGACACATTTCGTGCCATGTCGAAAGGCTCTAATACTAAATGATGTACGACATTACTTTGTCAAATAAAGAAACAAAATCGACATCACTCGTTTCATATTCTCTCTCAAGTTTTTGCTCTTCTTTATGAATAGCTGAAGGGCGATAGCTTTTCGCGATAGGGACGCGATTGAAGTGAACGAAGCCAGATGCGTCACGGCGCCCCTACGGCTAAACGTGTCAGAATTTATTTTTCCTATTGAGCGGGATTTCACATGAGAGAAGAGGAAAACCAGCGACGCTGTTAAAAATTGCTTCTCACTATCAAAAAGATATTTTAAAAAATTGAGAACAAAAATGCGTTTTATAAGAAAAAAAGGTTCACGGCCAAAGAAAAAGCTACGAATGAGTAGTTTCGTCAGGTCAGAAATAAGTGTTTTCAGGTAAAACACTGAATCAAACAAATTTAAATTTAGCGAGACAGCTCACTCTTAAGATGAAATAATCAACCTAGAATAAAATAATTACCTCGACTTTTAATACATTTCTCGTTTAATCTGCATTCAAATTGCCCTTTAGTGTTTTGGCGCTTCTCTTAGGAAGTCCTACATGTATTACATTTGCGTATTCACAAACTACGCATGTCCCAACGAAGATAACAACGGTTTAACTGTGGCGATCTTTCCAGAAATGCTGAAGCTATTATCGAATTATTTCTGTCGCTCATAACACTTTTCCGTGCCATTTTCGTCACCTTTTACAGTTAATTTTTCCTGTAAAAGATTGACAGTTAAACAAGGCTTCAAAGACGACAAATTTGAAGACAGAAGCCTAATATTTAATTTCTACCCTTTACTAAGAGCAGATGGTTGTACGTGCGTCTTATTTGTAGCATTTTCTAAACAATTAGTGTTGAAATATTGAATATGCGAGTGGCTTCGGATCAGTTTCATGAAAATTAGTGGATTTTGTTGTGCTTACGGACGCTGACAAAGACGAGAAAATGCATCCCATTTTGGACGGCTTTATTTTTCAATAGTGTAGGATACAAGTTAGATATGATAACAGATGGTTAAGAGTGGGACTGGGACTGCAGTCGTTCCCATCATTTCTTTTCCGTTGCTTGAAGCGGAATTACTTTGAAGCGCTTTTCGAATAACAAAGCTATCTCTTCATCGAATTATTTCCATGGAAGTTCCAATTTATTTTCAGCCCTCAAAGCACTTCCTTAATGGCCTGACGTATGACAAAACGACTCAGATATGGACCGAACATCATACAATTACTGTTGAATAAATTGACATTCATTTTTTTTTAAAGGAACAAGACTGTTTTTTATTCTTGCCGGTCGGTGTTTATCTTTTAAAAGCGACCAGACTGGCAACAAATTTCGATCGAGAAAAATTTTTCTAAAACTTATCGCTTGATTGTTTTTCAGTTTGACATTCGTCTGTTTTTTTTTTTGCTTTCTTTTCTTTCTGATGGACCACTCTAAAGGAGTTCGTTCTTTACCCAGATGGGAGTGTGAAGCAAAGCGAAGCGGAAAAAAAAAACAGCTACACGCCCCGTATATTCACTTTGTAATATATCGTTAACACATTCTTTTCACTATTACGCCTTTATCAAAAATTAACGTTGAGGTCCTACGAACTGGTTACCCCTTCAATGCCGAATTTTGTCCTGTCAGTTCATAAGCATGAAGAGTCATGAAGAATGCATGGGGTGCTAGTTCCTAGCACATTTTCATAGGAATTCATCGAGTATGCTTCGCAGTTTGATACTGCGCGTACCAATTTGCACCTCGGAGGGTAGAGAGCTGCTACAAGAGGAAAGAGTCCTGCTCTACAACAGTACACAACACAGCAACGCAATATATAACTCCAGTAGAACTCAAACTTCAGGTCATCCAATCCCGGTAGGGTCTAACACGCCGGCCACCATGCCAACACGTTTCACGCATCATTTTAATAGCAAGGGCGGTTAGAGAAAAGAAGGGATAAGCTATTTGCAAAACACATCTTCTAAAAAAAAAATTTTTCAAGGGGAGAGTAATTGGTAAATTAGCGAACTTAGACTGTTTTACAAAAAAAAGACCGACAAATTTTGACATCCAACAAACAAACACTCTTTCCCTCTTCTGGTCGCTATCATTCCACTGATATTGTAACTTTCTGACTTTGAATAGTAGCACGTTTTGAGTGGCTCTGAGCGTATGAACATTCGTACTATGACTTCAGTTTCTTGTTCCAAGCAAAACATTATTCTAGGAATTTATGTATCCAAGCAAAACAATATTCTAGGAATTTATGTATCCAAGCAAAACGATATTCAAGGAATTTATGTATTCAAGCAAAACGATATTCAAGAAATTTATGTATCCAAGCAAAACGATATTTAAGGAATTTATGTATCTAAGAAGCTTTGATGATGTAATCCTAAGGCAGATATAAGAAATGAGAAATGATGATTGAGAATCTGAATTAGCCCCATTTATATAAGGAAAAAATTTAATTTATGCTCACATTAAAATGTCAAACAATCAGTTAAAAAAAGAGAGGCATCTCTGAATCTAATGGAAGCCGAATCCTTCATCTGTTGATTTTGAGTTGCGACTCTGTCAAGATATTAATTACATCCGGGAAGTGACTGAAATACCACAGATGTTCACCGTCAGATATCGGCCATAGTTTATCATAAACTTAAGTACGATTTGCACCGTTATTTTACCTTTGCTATAATTAATACTAATAATTCTTCCCCAGTAACTAAAAGATGGTAAGTTTTTGGTGCGAGTTACCGTCCGTTATCTGAACACTTCCTCTTATAGTAAGTACATTTTTTTCCGCAGAGAAACAAATTAGTTGTAGATTACAATGAGCTGCCGAAAGGTTGTTGATATTAGCTGAAATGAGAATTATACATAAAGCAAACAGTACTGATAGATTTGCATTTTTCTCCCTCGATATTTGTAGTTACTTGTCTAGTACACTTGAGTTCAATTCTAACAGCTTTTTAGGAGGCTCCCTTTGGCTGACAAAACAAAGCATAGAGGAAGCCGAGGCCAAACCGTTATGGAACATCTGTTAACAAGTTTCACTGCTGGAGACCACGGTAGCTGTTGATGGAAAGTTTCATCTACTTTTGCCTTTCCAACCGAAATGGTAAACATTACAGTAGATGGGAAGAAAGACGCATTTGGGGGATTTTGCTCAGCTGAGCGTTTACCAAATGGAATGCAAAACCAGCTGAAATCCCTGACAACTTTCACCTCATTTTTATCCCTGACTGCAATTCTAGGTAATTCTTTGATCCTGGCTGCCTTACGCAAGGAATCGTCTATTCATCCGCCATCAAAGCTATTACTCGGCACCCTAGCAGTAACTGATCTCTTTGTTGGGCTCATATCAGAACCTTTGTTTGCTGTGCATTTGCTATCTGTGGCAAGCGAACGATGGACTGCTTGCGAATTGTCGTACTCCATGGCCTTTATAGCAGGTTACATACTGGGCTCTGTGTCTTTGTTAACACTGACTGCAATAAGCGTGGACAGGCTTCTCGCCCTCACATTGGGGCTGAGATACAGACAAGTTGTAACTATTAAGCGAACATCCTTGATGATAGCTGTCTTTTGGATCGTTTCAATCGTGGCGGCAACAATTTCCCTTCAAAACTACTTCATAACCCTGTGGTATAGCTACATCGGAACGTTGTTATGTTTAGTGACCTTAGTCTTATCCTATACAAAAATTTTTAAAACGCTCTGTCAACAGCGGGTACGAGTAGAAGAATCCCTTGCTCAGCAGCCAAGGCGGATGACTCCGCGGCACATGTTCCATATAGCGCGACAACGGGAGGCGGTCTCTAGTGCATTGTGGGTTCAGCTGACTTTGGTAGCTTGTTATTTGCCATTTGTTGTTGATGGCGTAGTGAGTAGAGCCATGCCTCTTCAAGATGTACTATCCCGCTCTTATTATTTTGCCAAAATGAGCACTATTACCGTGGTTTATTCAAACTCATCATTAAACCCTTTTCTTTATTGCTGGAAGATCAGGGATGTGAGACGAGCAGTCAAAGATATAATCAAGAAATTTATACGCTGTTGACAGAACTAAGTCCAAACGAATTATTCTTTACTTCGGAAAGATGACAGATGTGAGACAAGCAGTCAAAGATACAACCTAGAAAATTATAAGCGTATGGTACGTCTTTGTTACATCATAACATCTGATATTCTTTCTCGGCCTGTTAATTAAAATTTTTATTACCATCATTTTCCAAGCAATTTTTAACATTTAAGTTACTGTTTTCAGTATCCTCAATAAGTCCTTCCAGTCGCAAACAGTTGATTTCGCCCCTCAGGCCTCGCTTTTAAGTTGCAATACAGTAAATTAAGATGAGGAAGTAGTTACAAAGTATTTAGACCGAACGAATAATTAGGAGAATACAACACGGAGGCGGCAAAGATTCGAGGAAAATATGACATAAACGTGACTTGGGATGAATTTTCAGTAGATGACGTAATTACGCCCGTCAACCCAGTAATTCCTTCTGCTTTCTACTTGTTTTCCTTACTGATTGAATTCTTAGTTGAGAAAATTTCAAAATTTAGCAAAATAAAAAAGAATTAAGGAAGTGAGATAACAATAGAAAGGCATGAAACAACATTAGTGGTGGTAAGTGCGAATCAAACACTAGAAGCTATAAAATAAAGCTCCTCCAACAGATTTAAAAGAAGTTTCCCGTTGTGATAAATTAAAAAACAAACCATACCTTGTTTATAATTAAAAATCAATCACTCGAAATTTTCTAATTTTCCTTCAAGACAATTTCCAACAGAATCCTGTGATTTATTTTGACTGCTCTTTGTCGAAAATGTTTAAATCATTTGTGTCGAGCACCTGTCTCTTTAGAGATCACGTCCGAAACCCACACTCAATTTAAGCTGATGAATTCAAATTTTTCATACTCATTCATTTCATTATATTGATGTTTAGCGGATGTTCCGCTGCAACATTCATGGAATAAAAAGATGTTTGATAGTTATACGAATTTAATAGTTTCATTTCGCATTTTGAGACATTTCGTATGAAATAGTAATAGCAACTCCTAGAATCAATCTTTGAGTTAGATGTCATTTTTAGATCATGTTTCTTTTCATCGCCCAAAGGAACATCTGCTCGTCTGGTGTTTTGCTTTTCTCAGTGTTTTCGTGGTCCGTGGAATTTTTTATTAAAGGTTGAGGCAGGAAGCGGGACGTTACAATTGCACAGTGCCTGTTCTTTTTCTCGCACTCAGTAATGTCATGTTTCTATTTGGTTTCTAGGCTCTTACGTTACGTTGTTTTTCAGTTCCCTGACCAATCATATTTTACCAGGTATAGAATGGAATCGATGGGGGAGTATACTTTTATAAAAGCCGTTATGATAGAGAAACTTAAACTCTTAAGCGAATAATCTTTAATCAGTGAATAATCGAGATGGACTTAAGTCAACTGAACGACTGCTGTGCTCAGCAGAATTGCCTTTTCAGTTGAACCATCACTTCACTTGCCTTTCAGTGTCTAGCATCGTTTTATCCATAACTTCATTTATGGGAAATAATTTGATGTTAGCGGCCGCCTAAAAATTTTACTGCGTTGTTTGGCTGTCAGTGATCTTGGTATTGGTCTTGTTACGGGACCTCTCTATTCGGTATATCTTAATTCTGCCCTGGCCAAACGATGGAATGTGTGTCGCTTTGCATTTGCTTCAGGTACTCTGGCAGGCTTTCACTTTTCTTAAGTTTCTTTGACGACACTTACCAAAATTAGTGTAGAAAGCCTACTTGCATTAAAACTAGCTAGGCTTCCGATACAAACAAGTTGTCACTTTGAAGCATGCTTACATTGCTGTTGGTGTTATTTGGATCGTGTCTATCTTCTCCACAGCTGTCTCCTTCCTTAAATACTTTATAACCCTGATAATTGCATACACAGTCATATCTTTATACTTAGTAATCCTCTGCATATTGCCACATAAACATTTATCTGACTCTTCGTGAGCATCGGTCTCAAGCGCATTGTATTCGCGTTCTGCAACAAAGCCCAGCCGTTCCACTGAACATAGCCACATACAGGAAAACCTTGTCGGGTGGTGTATGGCTACAGCAGGCAGTTGTAATTTTCTGTCTTCCAAATACTGATAACTTTGTTTTTCGAAAGTTTCAACATTTATCATTTTTAATGGATATTCCGACAGAAATGTTTCGCTCTTCGATATCGCCGCTGCTCATCCCTACGTCATACAGGACGATCGTTATGCGTAGAACGCTTGATTCGTCATTTATTACGCCCAAAATGTGAATAAGGGCAAAACTGCATGCGAATCCCGGTATGGCTGAAGCGGCATTAAACGAATTGATCCGCCGCTGATTGCGACGAATTTGAAAACAATTTTGCCGGAGAAATTGGAAAGGAATTTTTTTCCTTGTCGAAGCGATCACACTAAGCAATAAATGCGAAGGTCGTGATGGTTTTTTTTCCTTTACACAGTCATTTCGTTTACGTCCTTTATTTTGAAACGTCATACTGATGATATCGAGGCAAGTGATCAACTGAACAAGCCGCTTGTTAAGTTGGACAATTTTTGAGTTCTACAAGTTCTCATTTTCAATGTGAGATTAGGAGCAAATCCTTCTTTGAGAAAATGAGTTGTATTTGCATGGGAATAACAACTTAAATAGACTCTCATTCGTTTCAATATAAAGTCTGCGCATCTCAGGAATGTCCTATTAAGCTTTTCAGTTTCTTTTAATTCCCTTTTAAGCTAGAGTTAACGGACATATTGGCCACCGCCAACATGTGATCGTTAAAAAACAGATATCGCTATTTGCATGCAAAATAAACCGGGTTTTTGACGCTATTTTTAGCTATAACATAATCCATCTTCACTTACCGTCCTCGTCAGTGATTGCAATAGTCGGTTCGCTCTTGATTCCTTCTCCTTTGATGGTGAATGCCGACACCTGGATTGTGTAGTTTGTATACTTCTCTAATCCTAAGAGGCTGAAAGTTCGCGTTGGAACCAATATTGTTATGTTCCATAAAATAACTGCACTGTGATTAGTTCTCCACATAATTAGCCTGTATCCTCGGATGATACCCAATTGATCAGGGAAGGAGACCTCGCCCCAGTCCACACGAAGGCTTGTCGAGCTTGTGTTTATAGCAACGATGTTACTTGGAGGAGCCCTGGGAACTGAAAAAAAAATTAAGCCAATCAGCCGGAGAGATAAGAAATATATACCTGCCCGATGGTTGTTCCATCGACTTTCTTTCAAACTAACAACTAGCGAGTTTCATTCATTTGAATACTAAAGCTTACCAGGGAGCTGCGCCTCAAAGAGTTAAAGATGCTTGTTTTGACGCCGATGCAAAGCATTAGAATTAATTACTCACCGTGCTCGTCTGTTCTTTTGAGTATGAAAGGGCTCTTGGCACCTTCGCCAATCCTGGTAAAGGCGGTAACAGTAATGTTATAATCTCTGTACTCCTCTAAGCCTGTTAATGTCGTTTGGCGGGCCAGGGGATCACGAACTGTTTTAAAATTCCAAAGTGCATGGCTGTCGTTTATATTCAAATAATGCACGTGAAATCCAAGGAGAACACCAAGCACCAGCCGTACATTTGGGTCAAATTCCCATTCGATCAGAAGACTCCAAGCGCTCGTGTTCCTTCCACGTACTTCGAAAGGAGCTCCGATAGGAACTGGAAATGAGTTCGTTCAAAGATAGCTATTTTACAAACTGTGATAAATAACATTCGAAGCATTTTTGATACAAATAATCTCCCTCTGGTTATAAAAATTCTGAAATAGCATGAAAGCTAAACATCAACTTTGAGAATTGTTTCTGTTTTCATTTTCCGCTTATATACAATCAAGCAGGCGATACACCCCAAAGTATGATTGATGAATAAATCTTTATAATTAGTGAGAGGAGTAAAAAAAGTAAAGATCGTGGCAGGATGAAGCTATTGTAAACTGCTTTGGACTTCTTTGGACTGCTTTGCAAACCCATAAAAATTGAAATATTTATATTTACATTGGAAAGACTATGGGCGAGGCTCTTGAAATTAAAAAATGCAATGAAGCGAACTACTCGATCTTAAATGGATGTATAGGACGAACACTAATAATAGAGTAACACCTCAAGTTAACGAACCTTAGCAGCCTATTGTATAAATTTAACTAGCCTTAGTTTGCATCACTTTATACTGATGAAGCCCTAACCGGCGAAACGTTTACTACCAAAGTATATAATATTTGTGCCTTTCGAGGTCTATATTTTTTTTTCTCATATACATAGATAAATATATATTTGTGCACTGGCCAGTTACAAAATCTAGCATTTCCTTTTCCCACGGATTGAGGATGTCGAAGATAACCTGAGCGTCTTTAGTTACCGTTATGATTCATACTTACAGTCCTCTTCTGTCATGGCGGGTACATCTTTACTCAGTGGTCCATCTCCTTTTATAGTGAAAGCCAACATCGAAACGCTATAGCCGTAGAACTTCATTAGAGAGGAAAAGTCAAAATGGTGTCGGTCAGGAGCTGCAGTTTCATTACGTAAAAACTCTCCAGTGTTGTTGTCCTTCAAGAACAGCCGATAGCCTCGAATGATACCGTGACGACAACATTCAGGAACTTGGTTCCAGACTGTTCTCAAACTGGTCGAGCTCATGTTGAACAGCTGAAGATCTGTTGGAGCCTCGGTTGGAACTGGGAGGGAATGAAGTTCATAACCTTAACCCTTTAACCCCTTAGAGCGACTAAGGTCAGGAAAATAAAGGAACTGATCACCAACGAAAGAAGCTCTTGATTGTTAGACAAATTCTCCTTGTCAGCACCTTATGAAATGTTTAGAGAACAGTATGGAGAATATGCATACTGATGTTAGAGTGTAAAGGGTTTCGTTCATAACGTAATAAAACTGGGCAACACGTCACTGGGAGAAGCTTCGATCCAGAACCCATGAGTGACCAAGACAGAATTTCTCCCTACAATATCCATACAATTTCAAACAGACAAGTGATGAGAATAAAGATAAATATCAATTAGGGGGTTATCAGTTGATCCAAACAAATTCTTAGAACTAAAATCAAAAGAATTGTACAGCAGTCAGTATGGATAATTACTAATGAGATCTTAGGGGTGAAAGAATTAAGAAAGCTTATTGAGCTGAAAATTGGTTGTTGAAGTGAATGATATCGCGTTTTACATTCACAATTTTTAAAAAACCATACAGTGAAATCATCAATTTATGCGATATTGAGAACATGGGCTACCACTACAAATACGTTTTTATTTCTCATGGTCAGAAATTAAGTACTGTCTTTTGATACTCTCCAGTAGAGCTTACAGAAAAACCAATATTCAGAGATCTAGATAACAGTGAAATGTTATTTCAATCAGTGCAAAGGACGCATTTTGATATTATTATCAACTTTCAGAACAACATTTGAAAGGAAAGCTATTGTTGAAATTCAAGGATTTTTTCTCCTGATGAGATGGTCGTTCGAATCCATAACTGTCAAAAATGAACGCGTCCGAGGCTTATTTTGAGACTACATCATGCTAAGAAATGATAAACCTGAGACGTTGCCCTCTGGGAGACAATACCGTTACAGCTGTTTTAAGTCTGTTTTAAGTGTCAAGGCATCTGATCAGTCGTGTCGATGATTTCATTATGAATCTCGCTTGTCTCTTAGAGAGTTGAGAGCAGAATAAATCTACGCTCCGTGATTTTAAAAGTAAGGAGAATTCGCTCAATAGGGTTGTGTACACCCAGTCCCTTTTCGGATTTCCCTATACTGGAAAGGTCTTAAGATAACTTCTTTAATTAGCCTAAGAGGAATGACTCGTGGGATAGGTAAGGGGGTGATACAACACCACAGCTTGGAAATAATTTATTTGCATCACGTCCGAACGTAAGTTATAAGTGTTACAAGTGTCAGCGACATGCACGCCGGATATCGAAATAGCCGATGAAGTTTTCACATCAGTATTCATGTAACTATCTAAAACCATTTAAAAATTAAACTTCCTTCCAGTATCTACTTTCATATCAAACAATAAAAACTCACCGTCCTCGTCTGTTGATGCGGTAACCTCCCCATCTGGCCCCTCCCCAAAGAGGGAATATGCGCGAACACGAGCACTGTAGGTCGTAAACTTTTTCAAACCTGTGAAATCTGAGGTGTTTGTGCTGAGGGGCACTGTATAATTTCCTACTATTGCATCAGAGTGTCCACTTTCCTCCAAAAACACGCGATATCCCCTCATCTCGCCATGATGAAAGTGGTCTGGAACTTTACCCCAGGTGACACGGAGGCTTGTGGAACTTGTATTAAAAATATAGATGGGTACAGGATGGTGACCGGGTGCTTGAATGTATAAAAATAGAAAAGAAAAACACTATGAAGAAGAAGACCTGAAAGTTCAGAAAATAGAGGAAGTCGTGATGAAAGTGGAAAGTGCGAATATGAATCTATCCCGATTGATTTTGTAAACAGTTTTGAGACCTACGTAGTTATAGTCATTCAATTTCACAAATTCATGATGAAATAGATGAAATAGATTAAATAAATGAACAGTTGGACTGAGGACCGGACTGACGGAAAGAAGATTATACCAGAGTACTTTAATTAGCCATTACTCAAAAAGAGATCTTGCTCATAGGCTGAAAACACAATAAGATCCGTTTGTCCAGTAGTATCTTCGCTTATTGCCACTCGGTAATCGATACCCGAGATCACTATTTTAGGCATTATAATCTCTTAACACTTGAAGTTTGATACTTAGTCAATTATTGATTTCTTCCAATGGATGGATGTTGAAGGACAGGCAGACGAAAGAATTATTGTATGTATGGATGGATGGATGGATGGATGAATAGATGCAGGGAGGGAGAGAAAGATTTGTATGACACTAACCTGTACCCAAAGTACGCATATACACATGTTCGCTGATCACTCCGTGACCCTTGCTCGTTTTCCCAGCCACTGAAATCTTATAAAACCTGTAAATCTCTAATTCAGTTATTTCAGCTTCTCTAATGTTATTTCCATTTACTTCCTGTCGTTGTAACGGCGCAGAGCTGCTGTTAGCAAGTTGGTAAAATATTCTAAATCCCCTTAAAATGCCAAGAACGTCTCGCACTTTGTCTTCAAAATACCACGACAATCTTATACTTGTTGTTTCTGGATCAGAAGGGACAACATTGCTTGGGGCAACTATGGGCACTACAAAAACAAAAAAAGAATTATGAGCTTTTATCTATCGTTATTTATATAATAACATAACGCCTATGGCGCTCATCGAAGGCTTGCTCTTCAAATCCACGATAGCCTTCACCCTATTTATTTTTAACTGAACTTCATTCTTTTGGGGGGCAGGACAATGTTTTCATTGATGTTTCTTTTTTGGGGGGAAACAATGCGAGAGACTAGTAAGATGGCCTCGATAAAAGCCAACCTAAACCTTATACTCATATAGCCATGTAAACATTTATTATGAGCTTCGTGACCCATGTATTCTCCAACATCAACTATTACAACCTTGCTCTCTTAGACAATTTGAAAACCAGAGAAATCGAGGTCCGTCCCCTTTCAACAGTCACCGTACCTTAGCATTCAGTTTCCCTCTGATTATTTTAAGAAATAAATTATATGATTTTGCACAAACCCCATTCATCTGTCATGCCAGTGACTTCGACGCTAAATGGTCCAACTCCCAAGGTTGTAAAAGCCTTAATGCGGACTCCATATTCCCAGTAGATCTCCAAACTGGTGAAATCCAGTCTTCGCTTCTGTTCCGCCAGAACACTTACATTGTGCATTATATCTGAGCTCTCACCCTGCACATCTCGTAAGTGAACCTCGTATGACACGACAGGTCCGTGCACATGACATACATGCACGGTATCCCACGTGACTTTCACGCTGTGATTACTTGTTGCAGTGATACGAATGTCTCGGGGGCCACGGGCAGGAACTGTGAGTGTTGAAGAGAATATACATAATAATCATTAGAACTAGAATGGTATATATCATCGGAAACAAATACAATCAAACCCTTATTTTTTCGCTTTTTGTTGTTGTTGGTGTTATTATTGTTGTTTTTATTTACTTTGAACAGCATAGCAACGTATGGACAATAATACCTGAGTCATTAGTCTTTACTCGAACTTCAGAGGCGACCCCATGTCCTGGGCTTGTTACTCCGCTGATTTTAACAATATAAACCACCCAAGCTTGTAAACCAGTGACTGTGAATGAAGACACGTTCAACCCCACGTCGTTTGGAGGCACATGATAACTCGTGCATGGCTTTCCCTGCCCGTGCACGCGGAACCCCCTTGGCATTCCGTTCCAGTCCTCCTTTGGAATACTGCTTTTGTTCCATCGCACAAATACACTTGTCATGTTGATATTATAAGCTTCCAGGATGACAGGACCACTGGCTGGCACTATAAGGGACCAAGGTTTGTATGGTTATGGAAAGTATTGAATCTAAAGGGAAGACTCTGATTTGTGGGAAGTATAAAGAAGTCATGAAGGAGACTATATGTTTCAAACCTTGAATATTTTTTGGTTGTGGAATAAAGAAGGTTGAATTTATTTATCCTGGTGTGTGATCATAAAACACATTTATATTAAAGGTAACCTGCGAAAGACAAAGACTGAATTTAAGCTTAGTGAAAATACCGCCAGTCACCCAGATTATGGTAAACAGTTACATCTCAAATTTTACGCTTTACGTTAGTTGAGGGCCTCAATGGGATACTGGCTTTTACGGCCAACGGTTAAACTTTTTGTCATTTTACGATTTACCCAAAATGACACAAAATGACTCGCTGAAGACGGAAAAATTTTAAAGGTCAACTTTTTTACGACTTGTGGTTGAAATTTGTCAATTTTTACTCCTAAAAGCTGTACTTTTTGGCCGTTTTACGGCTAACGGTTAACCCCATTGAGACCCTCTTAGCTCGAGGGTGACCGTCTTTTGAAATAATAAGACCGCTCTATACGGTTTCATTTCTGATCTTCAGTTTGGACTTTATCACGCGTTTGATGCGTTACTTCTTCAAATGTGTTTCACGTCATAAAATCAGCCTTTGCTCACTGTTCTTTATGGTTCAGTCGTTTTAAAACTCTTATGTGCACCCTCAGCGGCGTTTGTAGTACACCCCCCCTCCCCTCTCCCCCCTCCCCACACTATGTTTATCCACCTTCTTCCGCTGTTTCAAGAATAGTGATTGGTCCTAACAAACCAGCGGCTTGAAAGGAATACGGCGTAACCCGAACTGAATAGTTTGTATAGGGCTTCAAGCCAGAAATTTTGTAATAGTGAGGCCAGCCTCCACGGACATCATGTGGTTTCCACGAGTCGTTGCTGTCTGTTTTCTTGTGCAGCACAGTATATCCCATTAGATGC